GGATGTCCACAAAAACTCTATCCAGGTAAAAAAAAAATTCTGACAACGTAGGTGGAAAACCTACATTCGGTTTCTCACTTCAACACAAAACATTTAGTGCTTTGAACTACGCCCAAGACTTTAGAACCACAGTAAAGGAATCGCTTAAAAGAACTACGAATTCGATGAGGGCTACACTCACGAAATAAAAGTCGAATTGTCCCGTGTCAAATACTTTCACGCCTTTGTCAGCACTCTCAACTATGTCTCTCCCATCGGTGCAAACAGTGATTGAATTCACCAATTGAATTCCAAAAATAATGGTCCAGTTTTGTTATTTAAGACTATATTTTGGCATTGATAATGTTTCTCGTCGTCTGTTGCAATGGATTGCAAGGATTAAAAATGGATTGAAAGTTAGGCCAACAACAAGATACAGGAAATACAGCCACCAGATAAGTACAAGACTGATTCCGATCAGATAGTGACAGTGCCGAGGAAGGTGACTTTGAAATAGTTTATAGCAGGACATGCATGACCATGTCGCGAAGATCAGTACGAGATCATGACTGGTGCGTCTAGATCTATGAGGCAGGTGTCATATTGATGGTTATACGACTTTTATTTTCAGTCACTAATAAATTGTATTAGTGGCAGAGTTCATGTAAATTTATACCTTGATTTTATCAGGGCCTACCCCCAAAAGTGATAGAGTTGCTCAAAGAAGGAAAATTTTCATTATGACGGAATAACTCAGTATTCGCTGTAGGAAAGTGAAAGTTAATAGCTAATCAAATTAGTAGTTAGCTGAGAATTGGCCAAAAAAATAGTAGTTAATTTACATTTGGCCGAAAAAATAGTAGTTAACTGAGAATTGGGTACCCCCATTAGCAGACAGAATCAAAATCAGAGTCAAAATGTCGGACAAGCCTGTTTTGCGTCTGATTTATTGAGAGAGATTTGGCGGGAATTTTTTTTCATCCAATAATGTAGCGTAAGAAAACGCACAAAAGCTGTGGGAGGGGTGGGGGTGGAGGTAGAAATCGTAAAATTTAGAGTTGATGTCACAGAATTTTCGTTTGGCGTCTGACCTTTCCTGAGTGATTGAAAAAACAATGCTGACAGTTCTTTTGTGTCATTTGCATGACGCAGCAAAACAAGAAGTAAAACTGAAACGAACCCAATTTAGATTGTGTCTTGAAAAGAAGCCAAGTTCTCGGAACAGCTAACAGAACTGGGTGAGAAAACAATACATAAATAAGAGAAAAAATGGAGGAAGAAAGAATAAAAGTTTAGGGATTTCGTAGAGCTCTAGTTCGCAACGGTAGAAAGCAGCACACCAGATTTACTACTGAATGAAACAGCCGTCGCTATAATGTGTGTGAAGCTACGAGAGATGAATACATATGTTGATAAGTCGTTGCCATTGCAGCTTAGTGATATAGGAAGCGGATCAACGAAAAGACAATTAACGGACTTGACCAACTCATGGTGTAAAAATGATGTCGATGGCAGAGAGATTTAACACTGATTGACAAAGGCTACATCACATTCTTCCAAAAATTTGACACATGCACCAGTTTGAATATGCTGCCCCACTTTGAAATCTATATTTACACATACATCAGTACAGATGAGACACCCCGTGTAATACTGAAAAATGCAAAATTTACGGCAGGGATTTGAGTCCAAAACGTTCAAGTTTCATCGGGCATTTTGCTCTTGGTCTATACTAATTCCATTCTATAATACAACTCCAAACACATCACTGACGACTTTCAAAGCTGGAGCTATGGCAACGTGAAATGTTTACAAGGGGTAAAACGAATTCTTGGTATTTTTAGCACGTCTCGCGAGGCCAATTACTTACATTCTAGGTATAGACACAACGCATTTTTGCATAATTTCTTGATCAAGAGATACTCTTGTTGCCGCAAATCTATGACGAGTATTCTGGAAATGTAGAAATCACAAAAGAGAGCTTTTGTTTAACAGAAGATGTCGCAAATTTCTGGAAGTAACCATGAAGTTGGACCTTAGCAAACTGCGTCTACTCCGCAAAAGACAGCTACTCTTAAAATATGATCAATCACAATCGATAAATACTCGCGTACACAATGTATTTTTTTGGGCAGAACTTAGAAATTAATTACTTTGGACGATCTTCACAAAATTTTGCAATTTATACAGTGCCATTGCGTGCGAAGTAAACTGAGGTGTGTATGAAAGAGCGCGAAGCGACGAAGTCACTTTTGAAGTCATTTTCATCTCACTTAGCTACACCGCCTCCGCGACTGATTTTCTAATGAGCAGAAGTAATTCAGTCTTTTTGTTCTCAAAAATGCTGGCCCGTGTTATTCAACCTAACATCGTTACAGCCCAAATGGGGAAAAAAACCTTCAGCTCGTGGCAACTAAATTTCACTGTTTAGCTATTTTGAATCTGCATACAAACACCTGGGTTGTAAGCAACAATTCTGAACAATTCTCTTGTGTGTACAACTTTGAAGGGCATCTCTTAAAGGCTACGGAAGTGGCTCAAAGCGCTTTTATGATGTTTTCTCAGTGATTTAATGCTTTTGTTCACTCGCCGAAAAAAGGAGTGCGTAAGACGAGCGAAGATTTTCAATTATTTCAAAAGGATGAACCTTTCTATGACTGAAATCAACCTGAAACGGCCTTCAGGAGGCAAACAGTTCACTGCCTATCTACACAGCTGTACTTAAAAGTCTAACAGGGGTTCCAGATTTTCCTATTTGAGTTATATCTAGCTATGCTGAGATAGTGCAATATAGAAATATGATTGCTCAGTAATAAAAGGCTAGTCCCTAAAAATGTCATCAAAAGACAGTGTCGGCATTTTAAGTACTTTTTTTGAGGCGTAAAGCAATTACACCCAACAATATCGCGGTCAGTTTGGAGTAACTCGTGCGTGCAACCATCGAGGCATAAATTTCACCCTCTACGTACACTTGTGCCCGCTTCCTTGTGAATAATGGATAACCACGGTATAACTATTATAATGAACCGTTTAAATTAACCTGTTAAGATCGACCAAAGCATGGAATTGTCATAAAACAATAATGACATGATCCTTTCCACATAATTTGCGGCTACATTTTCCGAGGCGACTAGACGAAGACAGGTTCTGCGATGGATACGATAACAACTGTGGTAAGAATTTTATCTTTTTCTTTTTCGCAGCAGACAATTCATACAATTGACAACTCAACATGCTTAATTTTTGACAACGCATCTTAAGTAAAAATCTATAATCAACTTAAAAAGTTTGTCCGACTTTATATAATTTTTCACACCTTAACCTATTGGCGGACGAACCAGTAATTTCCCTCAGTTTGCTTAAATCATTAACACGTTATAATAATCTTTTGTCTATCTTTTAATACCCCACTGGTAACTTGGGTCACCATCGCATGACTATATATAAGTTTGTCCGTGGCTCTGCCGTTAAAACTTGCTTCTAACAAGCAAGTTCAAGCAGACCTGCAGTTACAGCACGCGTGCAACAGAACCTAGCGATTGACGTGCAGAAAATTCTCAGCTTCCTAACTCACACGAGAAGGGTACGCCTGTACAACCAGAACGGATTCTTTCTTCAAGGGCGACGGTTGAGAGGTACAAGAAGCTTCTCGGAACAGTAAGTACGGGCTGGCGACGATAAATGAATAATTCAAAATCAACCGCATTTACGTAATCGCTTCATACACTCTTTTTTTTTATAAGAATGTTGTTTTTCCGGCCCAGGCTGAATATTCTTATTTTTCTGCCGATTTTAGGCTGAAAATATTCTTGTATTATTCTTAAATTATATCTTATGACATTTCCGTTTTAGAATTTATCGGGGTATATGTACATGTATTACATGTACCGTTCATCGAACTGTCATTAGCGTTGAACATATTTGCTATAGCTAGTGCAGGTTTTTTCGTTTTGTTGGCTAGTTTCGCCGTTCAGAGAAAGGAATAATTTTATACGGTTAAGTTAAAAACATAAAATTGTATTGTATTTACAGATGTTTCAACACACAAAATTATATCTATCCTTTTCAAAATCTCAGCCTCGGCTTTATTCTTAAAATATTCTTAAAATTTCGCAAATTTCAGCCTCGATATTCTTATACTGTTCACAATGTCTTGGTTCCGTCAACAATGTAAATTAGTACAGTGGGATAAGAGTCGTCCATTTCACGAGAGCGTGTTTTATTGACGCGGCCCGAAGCACTAGAGTAGACGGTTGTGTGTACCTACTTTATGCGACGGGGGCAAATAAACCCCATGCACTGCCAGACTGTTAACATCGCGAAGTAGTTTAAAATGTTGCTTCCATTAAACGGTGTGTGAGACTAGGGTCTTTATTCAACCATGTGACGCGCCAATCATTAAAATCCTACGTCACTACATTGTTAATCGATGGCTGCAGCAATATTTCAAAGCGACGAAGCAAAAAGTCCTACTCGGGGGGAAGAGGAATAAACGGCATCCTCAGAATGGCTGTTGTAGACCTCGTTTCACGGATTCCATTCAAAATGGCCTTTTCAAGCAGGACATTCTTGATATAATGGAGCTGTATGGCTTAATGAGCAAGTTTTCCAGCCTGTCTTCAAAGGACTGTCAGGTGGTAGAATACTTTGTTCCAGCTCAGCTCCGATAAGCCAGATCTGGTCTGCGCAAGATAAGTGATCCGTGTCCACTATATATCCATTTCGGTGGTGGATTTGTTCCACCTGGGTTCTTTTCATTAATGATGCAAGGCTTGTCAATGGAATGCAGAGTGCTTTTCAGCTATCCCTGATTTGCAGAAAGAGATTCATCGAGGTTTTCTTGAAGATAAATCAGAGATGTTGTTCCGTGACTGGGTTCTCATTAACAGCTGCCTCGACGAAAATGGCCAGTAAGGTTCGGGATTTTCTTGAGGTTTCTTTGAAAGCCCTTACGTCTGGGCTGTTCTGGTTGCAGAGCCTTCGGTATAAACTGTGTGTCCTTTGCTGCCACTACTTAAATAATGGCGGTAAGTGTAGTAAGCACAAATCAGCAAGCTGTTCTGAGGATGAGTGCACTTCATCTACTTCGACTACATCCCGAAGAAGAGCCTATTTGTACGAAGAGGTACAGTGATAAAACAGTGACAGTGAGTGGATTCCAAGCTTACACAGCTCAGGTTTTCTTGTTTTCACTGATGTCATCTTTTCTAATATCACAAACAACAGTCAGTGTCTTCTTTCTAACAGTAGTAGACTAAAATTGCGTCTTGTGTAATTTTTATTATGGTGCTCTTTTGTTTGATTGAAATTAGAATGAAGAGGAGAACTTGGAATGCCCGTCTATGGCCCATGACATTTTACAGGGTAATGTGTTAATTTGCTCCATGTGCTGTTTCTTCGTTCATGTTGTTTGTTTGTGTGTTTTCTTGTTTTGTTTTAGACCATGCTTGTTTTCAAAATCGTGAGAAACAGCTCCAATCCGAAGAACAGAAGCTACTCTACAGAACAGCCGCTGTTTTCTTAGTCTGTACCGTAAATAATCTCGGCCTTTTTCCAAACCACCTGTTTTACAAAAAACTGACTCATCGTCCTTATTCCACCTCGTCTGATTGGACTTGTCGCCTGATCAGAAAATATCTTGATTATCTTATATATTTTCATTACTGTTTCCTACTTTGTTTCCACAGAAATTAGCCGGCAGAACGCTATTTTTTAGCTTTTTTAGGCGAGCGACGACGAGCGTGAAGCGAACGTAGGCGGGGGGTAGCGCAAGTCACGGCGCGTTGAAATCAAGTCGAAAAAATTATTTTATTTTGTCATTTGTTTCGCGCCCCTCCCGTCGGACGTGTGTAGTGCTCCACGCTTGCATCGCGCTTGCTTTCGTTCGCCTGAAAAACGCAAAAGTGAAAAAGAAACAAAAACAAAACAAAACAAACAAGAAAAAGGCCTGTTCTGCAGGTTAACCGAACTTCATCCTGTTATTCACTTTAGAGGGAGTTTTTAGCCATGTAAATACTTGTATTCATAAAGGCTGCTTTTAACAGATTTTGCATCACTCAAGTGTGGCAAACCTTCAACTGACGACCTTCTTCTTATTGCTTATGATCTTGGTTCCTCGTGGAAAATGTATGGAAGGGCGCTTCACCTAGACGAGCCACAGCTAGAACAGATTGAGGAGGACGAGCGGAAACTTATCGAAAAGAGCTATGGTATGCAGGAGGTTTAATCCATGTGTTTATTGATAGTCCTTAAAAGATAATCTAATTCGCTTGACTTGCCTTTGATTTAAAGACATGCAAAACATCTCATTTGAAAACACGTCTTCAAAAGCCTAAAAGTCTAAGTTAACCAGTATTTAAGGCCGAGCCACGGTTTAGACGTTTTCTCGGTAAACAACGTTTAAACCGTGTTTGAAATGCATTATTACAACATGAATGAGCCAGCCTCCTCCTCAGGCGCATCGTTTTTCGCAAGGTAGAAGGGAGCGACTGGTGATGAACCGCGAGGGTCCATGCGAAGGGTACAGACGGCAGGCGAAGCCCGTTGTCTCCTTCCCGCCTCCCTTTGCGCGCACATTTTCTCCGAGAGAGAGACGTCTGGGTACGAGGCAGTGACTGAGCCTTGTTTTTCCAGTCAATGGCTAGACAATGTCTCACAAGGAAATGCATTGTCTGTGGGGTTATTTGTCTGCACATTTAATTCCCTGTTGGAAGTTGTGACTCGCTATCGTCTCTAAATCCGGAAGAACAACCAATTTTAGCAAAGAAGAAAAGCTCTTAATGGCGGCATTGAGAGGAGAATTTCCAGAAGCAGATAAATAAAGGACACGACGACAAAACGATGCAAAAATTCAACTCTCAAAATCCAAACGGTATCAAACGGAAAATGAATCAGATCCAACGATGCTGAAGGCGACTGAAACTCCAATCCAGGAAAGTACACGATTTGCAAAGTCGTGAAGGAAGAAAAACTAGAGGAGGAAGGGGCTTATTTTTAGGGGGGCTTTTTTAGGAAATTTATGTCACCAATTAGTTGCAGCAAATTTTTTACTGAACGTCTTGAGGACGTAGATCTGTCTAAAACTCAGCCATGCAAGTACTTTGCCTATATGGACCGAGGAAATCCAAACCAAGGCTGAAGAGTAAACTACTATACGAAAACAGTAATATACTATGGCACTTTTTGACTGCAGTCATTTGGCACGCTTAATAGGTCGTTGGCAAATGTCCAAATTTATATGTGTTACTCAGTACAGTTTTTGCATGCTTTGTTTTATTTTGAATTTGAGGGCAATTTCCGAGTAGAAGCCCTCGGGGGCTTGTATTAGGAGGGGCGATTTATCGGAGGGTTTGTTATGTTACAAGTTTAGGGGGCTTAAATTTGGAGGGGCTTATTTTCGGAATTTTACGGTATGCCAAATTCTTAAGGAATGACAGAGAATGTTCTTTATCGTCGCCAATGACCTGCTCAAAAGTTCACCCCTGTTGTATAAAATCTCAAGACGGTGTAAGAGGTAGACCTCTGTTTGTATAATGTTGAAAGGTCTTTATTCAGAATTTTTTAGAGGTCAGTGCCCGAGTCTCTTTTCTAATAAGGCGAGAACGCAATCGAAAATCTTCGCAATCAAATTCCTGTAAATGGTAAAATCTGTCCCTAAGGTGCGGAATTTGATGAACATGTATATTACGTCGATTGGGGTAGTCTCTTTCTCTCTTATAACTCTCTGTTGCTCAGTGGTTTCAGAGCATTTCAAAATAGATGGCCATGAAAAAACCGTTAAACAAGGTTTAAACCTACCTGTGAGCAGGTTTAACTTCATATTGCTCTTTAGTCGGTCTTAGACACGGTCTAAACAAGGTTACGGAAGAACAGCGTTTAAATAATCGGTATTCATGACTTAAACATGGGTTAGACGACGACTTTCATAAACGCTGTCTAAACTTGGTTTAAATAACCGGCCCTTAAAATTTACTAAACTGGTCCTTGGAGGTTTTTAGTAAAAGTGGAGAAAACAAAGTTAAGTATTTAGAAGGACGGCAAGACTTTCACGTTCTAGCATGTAGATATGATACGTCTGCGGTGTATACTTGTTCCTGATTTTCGTGTGTAGGAATTAACGTAACTTGATCCCCCTTCAGGTATGCTAAAGAAATGGTTGGAGTCTTGTGGAGACACAGCAACTTATCAATGTCTTGCGGAAGCATTCCAACAACTGGGACGAGCAGATCTTGCTGCAAAGTACTGTAACGTGCACAGCGATCCCTGTAATGGTAAGTGCTGGAGTCCTCGTTGAAAATACTTTATATTGAGTTCCGCATATTGGTTAACAGGATCGTAGGGTGGCCAGCTCGTCATTGGGAACTTCAACATTTTTTTAAGTACGATAACTCCTCTTATAAATTGTACGGTCTGGCTTTCCTCCTTTGTTTTGTTGTTTGTATTATTGTTTTAAAACTAGTTTTTGGCGGCCAACTTTGCCTTCCTTCCACCTTGCACCTTGTCTAGTTCATAGTCATGCATAGTTCACAAGTAGCACCACCCTTGCGGCTAACGCTTTCAACCATTACACAGTCGGGGAGGAGAAAAGAGCTCTTTTCTCTGCGGCTGAAACAAGACCTGAAACCGGCGTCTGCTCTGGAAGGCTAGGATGGACATGTGGGATTACTGTGTAACTTGCTTATCAAGCTGAAAAGTAGAATTGTTTCCTATTTTTCACAGATTATGTGGTTTTGCCTTCATCGCCTTCAGTTAAGGCTGGCACACCATCCAGTGAAGACCTTCTCGATATTGCTGGTGAATTTTGTGCTTCTTGGAAGATGTTCTGTCGAGCATTACACCTCACTGAAGCCACGCTGGCACAGATCGAGGAGAACAAGCGTGATATGGTCAGCAAATGCCACGGTACAGTTACTGAAAATACTTTCATAAGCTGAAGCCTTAATAAGCTCTAATGTCGATGCGTTGCTTTAGTTGAGTAGAAAAGAAAAGTAGGTTGCAGGCGATTAATAAGTGAGTCGGTTAATGTCAACAAGACGTCCTCAAACCCCAAGGGGAAAAAATAATGATGATGATGATTATGTAATAAAACAGAAACAATAATCTTTATGATTTCTGCTAAAAACGAAGTTCAGCACCAGATATTTTTACGTTAACTAAGAACACGTATTTTACCACTGCAGCTGTGTTACGCATGTGGACAGAAAAGTGGGGATCTGAGGCGACCTATGAACGCTTGGCACAGGCACTGCAGCACCCAGTTGTTAAGCACTCAAATCTGGCTGCTAAGTATTGTCACTTGAACAAGAGTACTTCTTAAGGTGGAAAATGGTGTCCGAGAAGATATAACCGGAAACAAAAATTAGTTGCGTGTTCAATATTGTATCAACGCTTGGCGCAAGAACTGCACATTTAGTTGTAATGCACTCAAACCTAGCTGCGAAGTATTGTCACATGAACAACAGTACTTTTTACGGTGGGAAGTGGTGTCCGACAAGATATAACTAGAAGAATGATTTGTGCATTCATTTTCTGTATCAAGGCTTGGCACGGCACTGCAGCATCCAGCTGTGCGGCACTCAATTCTGGCTGCTAAGTATTGTCACGTAAACAAGAGTACCTTTTAAGACTGGAAATGGTGTCCGAGTAGATATAACTGGAAAAGTGATGTGCACGCATTCTTTGTACGAATACGACGTGCGACATTTCGGCAACAGGTGCAGGCAGTAGTGCATATTGTCTTCCCCGTCGAGTGCAGATACCCCTCTTGTATAGCCTACCACGCACAGGCTCTTAGTGCTTCGTCACAGAGGATTGCGTGACGAGCCAATTACTTATTTGTTAATTTTACGGTTATATACTGCCCTTCTAGAGCAGTGCAGTGTACTCCAAGTATCCATGTGAAGCGCAGCACCATTATGTTATAGGAAATACCAATCAGTTTTAGCTTGCAAATTGCAAATTAATTTGTATTTATTAACATTTTGTTGTACTTTATTATCTATAAGTAGAATTTCGTTGTTAATATCAATATTAATTTTAGTTACTTTTAGTGAATCCGATTATAGTTTTAAGTGTAGCAGAATTACATTTATTTTATCATTATTTTGTAATTTGTTTATTCAATTATGTTTTTGTTTCTACGGAACCTATTACAATAACAGCAAGAAAGATGATGATTTTCCTAAGGTTTTCTGTTGAACAATGTGTTAGTAAATATGACAACCACTAAGAGGATTAAAAAGTTATTACTTTATGGGGGTTGTCAGTGGTAGGGTCTATTTTTTGTTATTTTATCTTGTTTTATTGCTTGCTTGCTTGATTGTTTGTTTATTTTTTTTTTGTCTTTTTTTGCCGATGGCCGGTTAACAAATTCGTGGAACATGACTTCATGGAGAGGGGCCGGTATCGAAAATACATGAAACGTCTCTGAAAAGTTTCCATGGGCAAAAGCTTTTATTTAGAAATTAGATATCAGCGAGGTAAAACAACCGTTAGTGATACGTTACAGCGTTGCGACAAGGTTACTCTAGCAGTGACAAATAGTGATGCATAAGTATTGCTATCGTGATTTGCTCCTTTAAAAAAGTCGACTGAGAAGGCTCATTATTTGAGTACTACTTTCAATTCTGCTATTGCTGGCAGAGAGGTCCTTTCAGTCTGCTTTACTAAATAGAGGTTTTCTCTCTTAAAATTAATTTAGTACAGGCCAAGCACTCCACAGCAGTGCGGGCTGTTTGGTGATGTCTTATCCTTCTTGAGAGAAATGGTAGTCTAAAAATGTTCCTGGCAGTGTTGGTTTTTTTTTTTGTAAAATGGCGGAAGGTGATCTACCTCTGCACCCGGACTAGCATCGACATAACAGGTTATGTATTTGTAAGAATTAGCTAAAAAGTGGAACACTCCTAAAGAACTAAAGGTTCCGATCGATAAATTTTTGCTTTAAAGGCAGTGAAACGACTTTATTGGCCATCTAAAATGGTTTATCTGTTCAGTACTACGTCACTGCACTACAGACTTGTTTGAGGGATACCTTCTAGCAGTTCTGAAAGGTCGTCAAAACTGTATACAATTCGAGTTTCACCATTTTCGCCTCCCACAATGAACATTGGGGAATCTGGGTTCATGAGGTCATCTCCCTCATCCCTTTGCTCTAACAGGTCATGCTCATCAACATCTGATATTTCTATTTCGGGAGGTTCCCTTTGAGACTCCATCTCTGAATCGGTATCCGCTTCTTCGATGTGCAAGGTCGGAATCGTGAACTGTCTTGCGTCACTTCTTGTTTGGCTTCGAGAGTCATTAGAGGTATCCTTCTGAGTGATGTCATGATCCGCACTTATTACTGTTTTTGAACTCTTCGTCGGAGACACACGCCCATATTCTCTTTCGTCTGTGTCGATCTCCTCAGCAAGAACGAAATGGTTAAACGGCTCAGTTTCATGATTGTTTTCTATAGTTTCGTTGACTTTTTCCAGGAAGGGCAATTTCACGGCATTTAACCTTCTATTAGTAATTTCTTGTTTTGTATTTTTGTCGCCGTCCTCGCGCGATTTACTGGAAGAAGGATCCACAAGAATGGGGACGGCACTTTCCCGGTTTTCGCTTACAACTGACGTGGATAGCTTTTCAGTTGGCGAGGGGCCAATTAGGTGAAGAAGCTGCTCAGAAAGTCTTCTCAGGCTTGGTTCTCGCTTTTCTTTTGGAAGCTCATCGATCTTTGGAGGAAAGGAACTAACTGATGCTCTTTTCTTTGGACCACCAGATTCCGCGTGCCTGAGCTTCATCAAGGACATGTCCGTCAACATCTGAAGCTGGTCTCTCTCGCGCTCTGCTTGTTGTCTTTTTTGCGTCATGGTGGATATCATTTCTTCCAGCCGCTCAATCTCAAACTGTGATTCTTCTAATCTGAACTGAAACTCTTCTTTGTCCTTTACCGCCTGTTCCAAAGCCTCTCGAGTATCTTTCATCTCGTTTCTAATTACGTCTCGATCGGACGCTAGTTGATCTCGCTGCTTTACAACTCCATTCAGTTGTGTTTTCAAACTCTGTATCGTTCGATCACTAGTAGAGATGTATCGTTGATACTTTTCCTCGAGCTGGCGGATTGAGTCCCGACGTTTTGGCGAGATCCACCCTGCCGTATCGAAGTCCTTGCCCACAGTTTTCAAAGCTACAATAAGCTCATCCCTTTCAAGCAGAGCATCGTCAAACATGGACTTTAGTTCATGCATATTCTTCTCACTTTCATACTTATAGAGCGTATACTTCTCTTCCGTTAGCCGCCGCACTTCTTCCGCTAGGTATTGAGCCTGTTCAGCCTCCGCTGCACGATCATTGGCCTCGTTCAGTCGCATAAGGAACGTCTTTGTCATCATCTCGACTTCTTTCAAACACTTTGCCTCTGCCTCTGCTACTTGTTCAAGGATTGTATCCTTCACTGCTTCAGCACGTTTCTGCAACGCCTTTGCCTTTAATGCTGTTAATTCTGCATCCTTAAGGCGCCTTCGAAGCTTATCCCGGGAATAGGTAACTGTTATATCGCTGTTGTCCCAGTCCATGGCTGCATTGTTATCCTCCATTGATTCTTCTGCATTTGATTCTTTTGGCATTCCTGTTGTCATTTTGGAAGGGTAATTTGGAAACCCATCCTCTGTCTGAGCGTTTAGTGAATCTGGCAATTAAAACGTTAAGCAGGTATTTTCATCAATTCGCCATTTTCACATACCCCATAATACACCTCGTTTGCCTCGCAAAATTTTGCAAAGTATTGTCTTCGATGTTTCTTGGGACGACCTCTCTTCTCCGCAGAGGCCTCTTTGTGTCGCAGGGAAGCTGGGAGAAAGAAGTAGAAAACGCGCGGGGCACGATGGAAAGGGGAAAGAGAAAAGAGAGGCGCCTTTTCCCTCTTCCCACCGTCGCCCACGGGCTTTCTATTTTTCCATTATTGCTGTTATTGGGATACCCAGCGGGAGCCTCTGGGGGGGGAGAGAGTGGGACGACTGTAATACCCAGGGAAAATTAAAAACAAAGGTTATGCAAACTGTTTGGGGAGCAAGCAAACTGTATTATGAGACTTGCGTTAATGGTGACTCTCCATTTTCAAGCAAGGCCAGTCTTAAAGGGACACGATCAGCTGATGCACATGCGCATTAGATACCATTTCTTAGCTGATTTGCATGTTACAAGACACGCGCGTGAAACAGAACGCCAGAGGCGTATCCGGAATACTCAAAACAAACCTTGAAGAGTTGAACTAGTTACAAGCCCAAATCGTGATTATAGACCCTAAGCCACATCAGAGAACACATTTTTAATATACCATTGAGAATTCACTGATTTGTTTTCCAGGAAAAGCCAAACATCGACGAATACGCCTGAATTCGATCATCAGTAGAGGTGAGAAATAACACGGAGTCGGCATGAAACATTATATATCAAAGGATCAAGGTCGAGAAAGCTTGATTTTCCAAACATATGTAACCTTTTCCATCGATTTTCCAAATACATATAACTTGCTCGCCAATGTTATTGATTCATTTCTTTTGTTATTTAGGTAAACGAAAGCGATTTATCCCGGCCGGCGCCTACGCGTTTCTCACCTCTTCTGTTCTTGTTCCTTTGAATACTGTTTTAACAAAATATGATAAAATAATGTCATAGGATGAGTTAAAGTTTGCTCAAAAACAGGTTTTCTGTAAAAGATCGAGGATCGAATGAAACACTAGGCAACATCTAGAAATCCGCTTCAGTGAAGCGGATTTCTAGATGTAGCCGACGCGTTCATTTGATTTCGGGTTGAGGTAAACTCTTTTCAAATTGACAAAAGTAGTGTCCAGGTCAGCGCGGTCCCATAGCTGACTGTGTCCCTTTAATGCGATAAAATATGCCACATCTTTCCTTACACCTTGCCATACCTTCCAGAGAATGTGTTGAGCAGCTTGGAGTGGATGAGCCAGTTTTCAAGGATACCTGGTCTCGAAGATCTTGAAAAGCAGGACGGGCGTTAGGATCCTTAAAAGAAACGATCTAATCATTATCGTCATATTAAGAGTCATGATTATCGTTATCATTATGATTCCAAAAATGAAAAAGTGTATATTAAAAAATTCGCTTCTTTTCACATAAGCACCTCTTGTGTTCTACACCAGCTTGCTGTTGCTGTACAGTACTTATGATACAAATGCCGTACCCATCTCTGTAAGTTTATTGAACTGAAAACTCAGCATATAGCTATGCCCGCATTATTGGTTAACATGTAGTAACAGAGTACAAGTGTTCATCTGCATTGACTTGAAATGTTAAACGCACCCTCTGTAAGCACAGTTTAATCTTGTCAACAAAGCCAGCCAGCTGATCCAATGAATCGTTTGATGGATTAAACTTCAAAACCTAAAAGGGGAAAACAAAGTTTATATTAAGTTCTTGGAGGCGTCAATATTTGTTGACCTAAAGGAACTGATAACATCCACAGTGCGAGTTTGTGTAATTCTTTGCCTTACCTGGTCTAAGGTTGTGATTGGTTGTTTCCCTACAGTAACGACAGAGTAAATGAAGAAGCCTGAAAAGGAAAAAATAACCTCGAATTGCAGTGACCACCATAGAATCTTGAAATACCTTAAAAGGTGGTAGGGCTTAGTTTAAGTCGGTGGACTTGGACGTAGCACTTTCCTCGTTTGAAACACTGTAAAATGAACATTTTCTAACTGATATATTTTGGCCTTTTTCTTTGTTATCAAAAACCTTTTAACGACAAGATGGGCGATAACCCGTCACCGAAACCTTTTGGGCCATTCTGTTAATCCCGCAAAACCTGATTGGTGTCGCCCCATGAAAAGGAATCCTGATTCCTGAATCTGTGAAATTTTTGCTTGTGGGATCCGAAATCCTGGGCTTTGGAATCCGGAATACAGCTCAAGGAATCCGGAATCCTACTAAAGATTGGAATCCAAAATCTAAGTTCCACTGACAAAGACTGGAATCAAGTACCTGGAATCAGGAATCCTACGGCGTGGAATCCAGAATCCATGACTGTCTTTATAGATTCCCTTACATGGGGCAATTGGTGTGTTATGCCACCACTCATCGACGAACGAACCATAGTAAAATTCATTGAAAGCATTATATATTTCTACACATTTAGCAATTGTTGAATGAGGCTAAGTAGGATGTGAAGAATTCTGCAGATCGAGTAGGGTGCGTGCTTTTAGCCAATCAGAAATGAAAAAATATTTTGAATGAATGATAATACAAGTTAATTGCGAGCTTACCGTATGCCCATACATCAGCTGGGAACGTTTGGATACTTTGGCTGCACTCAGGAGCTGTAATCGGAACTCTGTTCTTATAAACGTCATCCGATAACGGTCGTTTGCACCATGGAGACCTGTGTATGGTAAAAACCGATCTCTTTCTTATTTCGTTTCCTCACAGTATCCTTATTAAGCAACAAATAAGCACTTAGATTGCAATTCTAGAGACGCGCACAAGTTTAGTGGCCTTGCGGTACCTGAATTGTGTCTGTGGTTCAGTAGTTCGAAGTCTGTTCGCCGTTAGATTATTCCCTTTGGTTGAAGAATTAGGTCACTATGCTATTTTTTTTATCGATACTCGCGAAGCAAAATAGATGAAATGTGAATGCAGCATTAATCAACATTATATTCGTTGGAAAAGCAGTAGCTAAAGGTATTCGTTCCTCCGATAATATACTTTCAGACAAGTAAAAATGCTATCATAATGTCAAACTCTTAGGGCCAAATATTAAATGAACTCTAACTTAAGCCGCGGTTTAATGAATCTTTGAACCTCCTGATCTCTTCTTTGGCGGGTTATGCTTTTCTAGTCTTCTCCATATGCTTTCATAAAACGGTTCACAATAAATGATGTTTAGATAAAATCGTTGGGCAAATTGAAAAAGACTTACAACGCGGTTTTGTTAAACACTAACTAAACTACATTTAAATATTTCGTCGGAACAGATATTAAAGGTCATTTTTTTAAGTATTTGCAGTTGTTTCTTCTTTTTTTCTCACCTCGCACAATGAAAGCCTGAGATCTTTACTTGTCCCTTCTCGCCCACAAGACAGTTCTCAGGTACCTACGTGTAATAGAAGAAGTTAAATTTTATAGGGTGAAAAAAAGGTAAGAAAGGAATGTCACTGTCAATGGTCATATCGACAACCACTTCATTTAATTTCGTGACACCTTTTACAAACTTTGAAGGACAAAAGTTTGTTTTGCAAGATAGAACTAGAATCGTTGAATCTTATCTACAACAAATGGGCGAATCCCACTTACCCAAAGTACTTACCAATTCTCCGTGCTCCACTAAAGTCTCGTGAAGGTAAACCATACCATTGATCACGTGGTTTAGAATATTTCGTAACTCTGTGTGGTTGGACTCCAGTATGGAGGAGTTTCGTTTCAGGTATTCTGAAAGGTCACCTGATGTGTCAAAAAACGAATAGAGAAAAGTTTGAGTTGCTTTTGTATATTGGCGCAATAGCCTTTTTTCTTGACTGTTTTGTCAGCAACTTGGCCAACTTGACATTATAGTCTCTAAGAAGTAATTGTCAAACTCTGTTTTCTATGTATAAGGTGTTCAGTAGCTTCATTAAAGCTAAACAAGTTTTTTGAAGGTTGTACCATTTTGCAGGTTTTCGTGAACCATAAAGCTTCGAGGTCCCTTTACTCCAATCCCGTGCAAGCGCACCACGTTTTCATGACCTAATGTCCTGTGAAATAAACAAAAAATATAAATAACCCGCAATGGACACCGCCTACACTTCAAGAAAGATGTGATTTGGACTCAGATTTATCCTAGAGGAAAGTCCGATCCAGAAATCGTTTCTTACGTGATCAAGCAGGTTGGTTTTTGAACCAGAGTTCGTCAAGACCCACACCTTTCCACATACATTTTGTTTTTGTTGCTTAATTTTTTTTCGTTGGTTTATTTCATGATTTCTTTAACGGAACATTGCCTGTACTGCAAATTAAACTGTACGCTTGAAAAGGAAATAAAGAAGTCGAAATTCGTTGTGATGGAGACACTCGTCCATACGCGGAAAATTAAATGAAAATCTTAAAAAAAAAAAAAACGAAGGCGTTACAGGAGGTTTATTAAACTAAATGTAAATTGTACAGCTGTTAGCATTCCTTCAAATTTTGTTTTTGTTTGATTTTTAACAAAAGAATGTGAATTCTTTCTCCTGGTGCATCGTCCCAGCTAAAGAATTGCTTGCAACCAGTTAATTATTTGTACTCACATCATTAACCTTGCCTGGTTGCTGAATTTCTCTTTGAGTATGTCCGAGCTTCCCTCTGGTAGAACGTGGGTTAACGCTTCTTTGTTGTGAAACTTGCCAGTAAAAACGTTCTACAAGGTCGAATAGAGATGTTCGTTCGTCGGCCAAGAACTTGATACAATTTCTAACTATCATTGCTGCAAGACAGTCGGCGGAACTTCTACTAAAGTCCACTTCTTCACTTCTGTCCTAGTGGAAAGAGCGTACTTTCTTCTTTGTTTTTATCTCTCTATACCAGGCGTCTTTACATGCAACAAAGGCCAGTGAGTGCGTTCCAACTGACAAAAAAATCCTCTCCAAATTGATGTACTCACTGCACCTTACCTCCGTTCCCAAGGTGGCCAATTTAGAGAGGATTGCCAAATAACATTACTTGTCAAAAGCGTGTATGACTACTTCGAAGCGTTTGAATTTTGGATAAATCAATGCGTCGATTACTTGATAACAGCTTCGCGGATAATGGATAACTTTTTGTTAAGAAAAGGAAAGGCAAGTCGGAAAAATTGGATTTATGGTAATTAGACCTCTCTGTGGGAGATAGCTTTTCCCATCGTTGTTTTCTCCCTGAAAAACACTCTAGGAAAAACTCTTTCTAGTGTTTCTTAAAGTTTCTACACAAATGTTCTTTAATTTCTTACCCAAGGTAGACTAGACACAACCTCGCCTGTTTTTTCAACTTCTGGCCAATCCACCCTCCAGATTTCTAAAAAGGATTAATTAAAAAGACTAAATTAACAACCATCGTGTCTACTTTGGATGCTTCAGGCTTTTGCTTCCTTTGTCGTCATGCACAGCAGAACCTTCATGTGAAGGACGCAGGACATTCCATTATTAATTGTTCGAACTTTTGTATAACAGTAGCAGCTGTAACTATATTACTGTACAATTGTATAATTGTAACTGTAACGTAGGTTAAATTTATACAATAACAAGCGTCGACAATTCAGTCAATTTAATGAGAGTCATTTTCCTTCACAGAAGTCTGCGTACGTCTCTTCATAGGCGTATACAGCAGTATTTATCACTATGTGATAATGATAATGTACTTTGAACAATTTTATCTTTGAATTAAGAGTGGTATATAGAACAAAATTCCATACCATCGGCATTCTTGAGCGTTGGGTATTTCTCCAATGTTATCCCAAGAGCTGCAACAATATATTATATTTTGATTACTACCATCGATTCCACGAGACATCTATTTAGTGATATTAGTGATTAAGTTTGTTTGACATTGAACTTAAAATTTCCTTGATCAATACAAAACATGTCTGTGACATATATCTCTGGGATTCTTTATCAGGTTGTCTGTGGATGTCTGTATACATCTAGTGGGTGGCGTTAGATCATAATGTAACTTGCTCGCGGGTAGTTATGCTAATCTAACGGGTCGTGTTTTAAGGAAATAAATGCAACTAAAAGTAACAAGAGATCTAAAAAGAGCTAGAATTGACATAATGACTAGATGCTACTGATAAACTTCGTCTCCCATTAGTCAACGGAAAACGAAATGATCTAAATTAGCCTCACGTCAGACACACAAAAGCGAGAACGCGGAGCTCTGGCAGAAGCGTCCTTTCCGGGCGGGAGCAAAATTATTAAATTATTAAGCGAAGGGCATCGATTCTTGAGACTCCTATTCCGTCGAACTTGTCATATATTTTTTTTAATTTCACTGATCAATAGCGCTCTTATACGACTCCGATTACTCCGACAACCAGCCTTAATAGCTAAATTAGCGCATCTTACTGGGATGTTGTTTACACTGATCCAGTAATTGTTGTATGCTGTCAAACTGCAAAAAATTTGCGTACGAAACAGCATCTGACTCATCTTTCACACGGTACTTTTGGGTTGCTTCATCTTGAAGAACTTCAATATGTTTAACTGTTTTGTCCGTCCTGCAAAAGCAACACACGAGCAATTGCTTCCATAGTTGCTTTCGTGATAACATTGTTTGTTATTCACGTTACTATCTACCTTAACAATTATAACCTACAGTGTGACTTCAATGTGTTTATCTGTTTACCAGCGATACAACAATCTTCATCACGGAGGTTCCTTTGAAATTCTTGGTTGTCATGGCGACAAGAGGTTTGCCAAAGTGAAAAAAAAAAGGGTTCGAACTTTAACATATCATGTAACCATAGCAACCAGTGTCAGTCACCTAAATTGGCAAAACAGTATCTGAGGGATATCTGTCACGCTAAAGGGTTTAAATTACATGTAACCTATCTGTCGTACTTTTATTGTGCAAAGGGTTTGTAACTGCTCACCTAAAAGACAGGATTGTTTTAGAGCCTAATCCACTCGTCCGCAAGATGAAACAACCTGCCACCTATCCAAAAGCACGAGATAAAAGTAATGTAGAAAGAAAAAGGTAAAATTGGTCAAGTACAATAACTTTTCAAGAGTTATTGAATTGAAAATGCGACGAATTGAACTGAATTGCCTTCAGGCGAACAGTTGGCCTATGTTACCATCAGCTCCGTTGTTTTTGTACCATGTCTTATAAGTGCGATGGCTTATGGTTTGTTGTTACGGTCAATTTCCGTCGCTCAAAGCCCTTTTCGCCCCATAGTAAGGGAACTCGGATTCCGGAATCCAGAAAATGTTTGCCTTTGGACTCCGGAATCCCGCCAACGATTAGAATTCGGAGTCCAAGTCCACTAACAAAGAATGCGGTCCACGTGGTGGAATCTAGAATCCAAGACTGTGTTGGATTCCTCGACATGGGGCGACCCTTACAATTTATCGAAGAATTAGTCCCAATCGTGCGTCTTTAGGAGTCTCGGATGTATGCGTAGTAGAAGGTGGCGAAGTGGACTGGGCGCGAGCGCCTTTATAAATAAATGCACGTAAATCGAAGAAATCGCCACGATAGACGAGGGACTATTCTTTCCCAGGAGTACGTTACATTGGTGACGCTTTAGTGCTGTTATTTGCAATAATTCATAAAAAAGTATTTTTGGTGTTGAATTGAAGTATTATAAAGTTAAAATAAGTTTACCTGGTCTCTAAGAATTGCCGTTGTGATGGAGGTGGGAATTTCTTCAAAAAACCATCTGTGAAGTAGGTTGAACAATTAGCGTCATGGACCATTGCAAACATCACTGATAACTAGTATAATTATCTGTCCTTTCCGATCTATCACTCATCTACCCTACCCTTATTTCCTGTAGCCTGAATAGCCGGGGGATCGGGAGATCAAAGTTTTGGCAGATTAGCTGCAAAGCCGCCAGTGCCGCCAAAACTCTCACAAACGCAAAAACAATTCCGCCAGCTACCCAGGCTATATTTTGTGGCGAATTTACTCGCTAAAGACTTATTAGGAAACACTGCACAAAGAAAGCAAGTACATCAGTGTAGAATCTCTGCGAATTACAACTGTACATGTAGTTAAGGCAATTGCCACCTTTTACACCTTTCCATTGTAGTAGAAATTTCTTACCCGGCCGTTCCCTTACTTACAGGTCAATTCTTGAAATCACTTTCTAGAGTTGTAACAATGCGTCTTGCTTTATAAGTATAAGTGAGAAGAAGAAACAACTAACAGACTAGAATACCCCTTGCAATAGCAGAAGAAATAATCCCTGCTTACATCAAGCAAATATTCTTTATTCTTCTTCCATCTGTATTGATCTGACTGCCAGCACAGTTAAGATTTTTTACGGTTACAATTGATGTAAAATAGACGTTCCGACTTAGCACAATCCTGGGTACATAATGTACAATTGAAAGAAACACCAAAGTAGCAAGAATTTCACTTCACAAAAAACTAACCGAATAGATCTTGCACTTACGGTTCTTCCTGAAGTTCTTTTAGGTTCACTGCATCTTTTGGAATGTAACCATATCCACTCGTCCTATGAAAATGTAAGTCACACCATTTACTCCTAAAAACTGTTTTTATTTTATGTTCTATTATTTTGTGCAGCCGTATTTGCTTCTCTTTACAGTCTATTAGAATACTTTTATTTTATAGTATCTTGTTTTACCAGCTATATATTACATAGAGAGAGATACCGGAATCAGGGCTGCTGACAGCCAATCAGAACACAGATCAGTGAACTTTGTTGTAGTTACGGTTAATTGGTAACAGAACTTCGTGTCGTTCATTTAGGCCTCTAATCGCACTTTGATTAAACAAATAGGAGTCCCGCAATATGGTGGACTGATTTTGTTAATCTCTCATGTGTCTCCACTCAGTACTATTACTGTTATTATCTTAACCATTGATTGGGTGGGGGGCGGGGACGGGGAGGGAGATCGACGATATAAAGCTATGCCTTCCTATACTAGCCCCAGGCGGGTGAGAACGCGTGCTAAAAACGAAAATTACTTACGAAGTTGTGGAAAATGCCTTCCATTCGACACTGCCAGAAGCATCTGAGACGGTCAGATGATCACCCTTCCAAAGTAAAAGGAGACAACTTCAATAAGGAGTAGTCACTTAAACTAATTTTGGAGGATTAGGCGGAGAAGGTGAACTGAAGCAATAGGAGAAAAACCACCTTAGGGTACGTAAGAGCGAGAACCAACAACATCGCGCTGCAACCTGTGACCACTCGCGTTTCTTCGCGCAAGTTCTTGTTTGCGACCAAAGTGCGATAGTGCCTGAGGAGGAGGCAATGTGTTATGATGTCGGTGAACTAGCAAGGTTTCCTTGACAAGTCGCTTTGTTCTAAAACAGACGTGGTAACGTTGTTTAAACGACTAGACAAGAACTCAGAGGTGAGGACTCGAAAGGACACTTGGCGTCAAGCAAACACTAAGGGGTTATGAAACATTCAATGTCATTCCCTCAGTACAAGGGCCCGAAATCATTGTTGTCGCAGGTAATGTTATAAACTACGTGGACTCTTGTCAAGATTTAGGAGCCCAATATTGATGCCGGCTCCTGTCAAGAAACAATTGCTAGTCATACGTGCTACCAAAGGAAGACTGGCTCCTTGGCAAGACACTCCACTCAAGATTAACTGACCCGATCATTTTCACCTCTAATTATGATAAACAAGCTATATAACCCGTAACTCACCGCAATGGTACATGGAGAGTGCTGTTGACTTCTTTCGTGATTTAAAACTTATAAAAGGCTATTGGTCACTGCCCAAATCACCTTCAGCCGTAAACCTTTCCGTGTACACGGAAGGCTTGAATACGATAAAGTAAACTAGACATTATTGAAAAGAGATGCTTGTTTTAACGTGGATATTGCTCTTACCTTATTAAAGGGAAGGCTTCCAGGCATGTCTGAGTAATGCGATTCACTAGCGACTACCCCAAAACCGCTAAAGGCGATAGCAAGTGATAACTAAAGAAAACAAAACACGAGATATATAATTCTAGTGCTTTTTTTTACTATTTTTATTTTGATAAATTTGGAAATCCTTTAATAGCTAAATGCTTTAAAAGGAATATAGTATCAATCCATATTCTTACTGCCTAGCCACGGGTAAGGTAGACACTTCCAGATATTAGTAAACATCTGAAAGCTTTTGGGAAAGATTTCATTTCGTAATAATATTGAGAATAAGGTTCAGTGCTGTTTTGTAGTTATCACGTACATTGATTAAATCCCTTTAAACGAACAGTACCTTGAGCCTTTTAATATCTGGAATACCTAAATAAGGGAAATCGATAATAAAGAAATGTTATGCCATGTGTGTAATATAATAGAGGTATTTTCTTTTTAACAATGTAACAGTATTATAACCCCAATCTTCGGCCTCGACGGATAGCACTTGCCTCGCATCTCGATTATTCCGGATAGTCTCAAAAACCTCATCCAATATAATTGTTTAGATGATATACATGGGCACAACCACCACCACCATTCATTTACTGGAAGTTACAAAACTATCCAGATGCCACCGTACTGTACTTACAAAGTCCCACTAATTTTAAATGACAATAATGAAAAATACTCATTTTGAGTATAAATAAAAGATAACGTGAAATGGCTTTGTGAAAATTACAGTCTAGCTATAGTTGTTTACTTACCATAAATTTTACATGGCTTACATCCGGGAGAGTTCCGGAACGTAACAGCTTTACAACATGACCAGGACTTGCCGGTAAACCTTCCTGAGTGATATTGAGTTAGGCTCACGGGGTTTTCTAAACAAGCTAGAAATTAGATTACAGAGTTTTAGTGAGGGTATACTATTAAAATGAACGAATTGTATAAGCTTTAATATAGGAAACGATCATTCTTATAAACGTTTATGTAACAAAAGCCCTGGTTTGCGAAAGATAACATCAAGGGAAATGGTTGTGGCCCGTGGTTGAGTCACTGCTAGGATGTCAACCTCGTCTCCAGGGCTCTTCCCTCAGAAAATGGAGGGGGCCAGAAAAGCCATGGGGATGAGGTTGTTGTGCTTTCTCGCCTTCTGTATGGAGCTTTAGCAAAGATGTTTTTGAGCGACACACGTCAACCGGAGGTGGACTTTTTACATCCTTGGCCAGTGGTTTGGTTCAAACGCTCGGGCGAATCGCCTTTATATGAGAAAAGACACAAATTTATTATCGTCAAGCCATATAAATAATGGAGAAGGCTTCACTTCCGGTTGACGTACGTTGCTCAAACAGGTCTTTGCTTAAGTTCCCTTATAATAGGCCATTTCAGTTGCCTTAAGCTTTTCTTTCAAAGCGCGAAACTACTGATTTGAAGATGATTTTTTCAGTTCTTATGCAAATAAAACTCATTCTCACAAGAAAGATTAAGAAAGGTTCTACACCTTCTTACTTACATAGTCTCAGTGAACACAACCAAGACTCAAACTCGTCTACTTCATATGCAGACAGATAAACTGTGCGAGAGTTTGAGTTGTCCTTCTTTGTCCGACTATGGTAAGCTATCTGTCAAGGGAATCGTGAGCAGAGATAAAAATCCCAGTTTAACTGAACACTCCCCAGGCGTATCGTAGTCTGCAAATACAGCCGTCTCTCCTCGTTCTTCGCCGTAATGGGCGTTTCGTTTTTCCAGCGATATTTCCCAAGCGGCGAGGAGCGAGGAGACACGGCTGTTTTCACAGGCTAGCAGGCGAGGTGTACCGGAAAAATGGGAGACTTAGTTCGTGATGTCATCAAAAATGGCGCCCATCTTGGTCGCCATCTTGGATTGTATTGAAAATTTGACTTCACAAATTTTTCTGTCAAAGTTAAAATAACTATGCATGACAAGTGCCGAATAGGTATTAAGTTTGCTATTTCTTTTCTGCCATTCTTTTTCCATTTTATTTTTCTTTTGTTTTTCTTTTTATTTCTAATATTTCCAAAAAAGAGAAAAAAGAATAAATGAACGAATAAAAATATAGTAATAATAATCCTAAAAGAGGGGACTGACTATACCATAGGATGGTCACCGAACTTGGGCGCTTGTGACAAGAGGAGGTTTTGATAAAACGTAGTTTTAACAAAGAGACAACGCTACACGAATCTTAACGGCGTTACAGTGGCGGATCCAGAACTTCAGATAACGGGGGACGGGGGGCGGGGGCGGTCATCCAGATCCTGAGACAAGGAGGGGGTGGCCTCAAAAATTTTTCGGCCCGTCGGGCCTCAATTTGGTCAAAAAATAAGGGGGGCCGAGCCCCCCGGGTCCCTCCCCCGGATCCGCCACGGCTGTAGAACGAGAAGTCTGCCTGTTCGTATATCCGTACAAAAAGAGGGGGCGCTTCAAACAGCAAAAATACCTGAAAACAGAGCTCCTGGCTAAACGCACTATCATCCACTTCTTCAACAGACTGAATATCTATTACTTCAATGGCAAAATCTGGTTTTTCTCCTTTTGTCTGAGAAATGATTTAAACACAGAGATTGTCAGTGACTTGACCAAAGGGTTTTCCTTCTTCTTTCTGAGTAAAGCAATGTCAGTCTACAAATACAGCTGTCTCTCTGGGGCGTTTCACGGTCTCTCAAGACTGAGACGTACCTCAGTGGTTAGGAGCAAGGAGAGACAGTGCTGTATTAGCAGGCTAAACCAACTTAGACCGTAATTAGCAAAGTTTCCTTCCCTCGCCTCTGTGCGGTTCCTTATGGAAACGCACTTCTCTCAAAACTTAATTTCGTTTTAAGAGATAAGAAAAGAAAAGATTACAAGGGTGGGCCTATCCATCCGCACGCTTGGTTAAAATGGTTGCATTTCATGAGGACAGGAGAGGACGTTAAAGGACGTAGTCAAGAGACTATGAGGTACCTCATAGTCTCTTGACGTAGTATGATCAAAAGAGGTGTACCGTAAACTATCGCTTATAAGCGCTCCCCCTACTTATAAGCCCCTCTGTAAACAAAAATACATCCTGTTATAAGCTCCCTCGGATATAAGATCCCCCACACTTATACACCTCCCCCCCCCCCTTCCCCACACACCCTAACTATAAGCCTATCTACGTGTAAAGAAAAAATACCTTCGGTTATAAGCTCCCCCGGATATAAGACCCCCCTCCCCCCCTAGTTATAAGCCCATCTACATAATAGATTATAAGCCCCTCCATTCTTAAGCCCTACTTAAACCCCTTAAGCAGACGCATAAGCTCAGAGCTTAGCAGTGGCAGTTTACGGTATTCAATTAATTACAAATTCGACAGTGTCACGTTTCCCACTGATACAGTCAAACCTCTTTAATACGGACGCCAAAGGGACAGAACCAAGTGTCCGCTTTAAGCTTCTTTACAGGGAGGTGTATGATATGGTATTTCTGGGACCAAACGAACTGTCCGTAATAGAGAGGTGTCCATATTATAGAAGTATCGGTAAGGACAGGTTAGACTGTACATCTTTTGATCTGCATATAAATTTTTTTTACATAAAAAATGTTTTCAATTTCTTCTTCAGTTGGTACTTTATTTGTCCCAAGGGGACACGAAAGCAATGCCCATGAAAAACTTTCGAACAGACAGAAATAGCTATTCGCCTACACAGACTAGAGACGCTGGGTCGGATATGAAGACTTTTGGACAGCCTTCTGAGATATGTTTAGTTAAGCGTTGCAAATTCGAATCAGTCTAGGTCAACATCCATTCAAGCTCTTAACTTTATTTATTCTATTTGCCAATTTTGTTTTTTTTTTATAGGCGTTTGGCAGTCGTTAGTTTCCGTGTACCTCTGTCCCCGAGTTGTCGGCATCGCAGATGATTGCAGCTGGCCGGAGTATACGTTCCTTTTTTTCCACAAAGTGGGTCCGGCGGGCGATGTCGTACTCACTTTCCGTTAGAAACGGATTGTTTTTCGTCATAGGGTGTTTTGTAATTGGTGTGGTGTTGTAATCTTACGGTAATTTTGCAATTAACTGGCTTTGAAGTCCTTGCTGACCTACAGGTCCCTGTATCTACTCCTGTATCTTCCTGGGCAGTGTACGGGCAAAATTGTAAAAAAACATCTCTCGGGCCCATTTCCCCCTCGATCAGCCGTTCATTCTCAGGCCGATACTCTCTTGTGCAGACGCCAAAAAATTAATATCTTTACAAACCTGGGCAACATATTGATGAGATCATCACGATGCAAGTAAACAATACAGTCATACCAAAAGATTGACTTGTCACATATTGAAAAAAAGGAAATTGATAATTCAATATGAACGAGAATGCAAATGGCAGCAAGATATTTGGACTCGGAACAGTCAGATTATGAAGTTGTGATCATACCAAATACGATATGTTTTCCCACTTTACTGGATCAGCATGGATAGTTGAAAAAGCTGTGAATTGATCGGTCTTGAGGTTGTTTCGTTTGTCAACTAAATTACCATCTAGATTCTAAGTTCCACGCACAATTATCGCATATTATGGTGCGTTTCTTATGCTGTCCACCGTCCCTTCCAGGGATGTTTTAACCTGAGTGGACATTAAACGTTATTATTTCAAGGTTGTGTCTATTTACCTTTCAATCGATTTCAAACAGAATCCAATATTCCATCATTCGATCTTGCCCGAGCATGTGACGTGGCTGGCTGTATCAAACACACTAAATCGAGTACTGCTTGTGAAGGCACGGAAACTATTTTAAACACTCTTAAATTACTCTCGCTAAAACGTTGATTTTTTTTAGCCTATTTTCTGAGACGGAAATATCGTGCGCTGCTGTGATATTCAAAGTGAATTTTCAAGCATAAGATAGTTTTTTTGGTGCTCACTTTACTGCCTTTGGACGTTTTACGGATCGGCGCCTCCCTTTATCCCATCCATCCAGTTAAATTCAAAGATTTACATATCAGTGTGAATTAACTTTTACCTAGTGCTCGAAATGACTTTCGTTCCAGCAGAAACGATCCGATGCTTGTGCACTGATATGAACGACCTACTGGATGCAGTCCTCGATTCTGGATAATTTCTATTCAGCAGTTCATGAGCTTACGACATTTCGTACTGACAGTTAAAAGCACATTAAGGCAATTATGATTAACAGTCTACAAAACTCACCCATTGTGCCGAGCTGTTATAATACTCAAAAGCGACTTCAGTGAGGACTCCAAACACACCTTGAAACATAGATTTGGCGAGAAAACTTCTTCTTCTGGTCTTTCTCACCATGATATTTCCGCAGAACTTGGCCGTTTCTTTCTTGTTTCTGGCCTCCATAAGATCCAACCTAATCTTTTCACTTTGCGTCTTAAAAGGCAGTAAATTTCTTTAGCAAACTTTTTGGTCGCCACTTTGCATATTGCAATACGAGAAATAGCGTTGTTTGTTTTACTAGTTTGTCTTACTGAAAACTAGTTCCTCGTGGAATTTTAAATTTTATAAAAAATACTGAAAAAAGATCCAACCGGTAAGATTATTCAGAGCATAAAATAGTCTTTGTATACCAGCTAAGCATTATCAATTCGTCTATACTTAAAGCGATGGCTTCAGTGGTGCAGACACTTCCGTAGAAATTGCGCCACTAAATTAGGTCGTATATTGCCAATAACTTAAATGTAACATACCGTAGTGTCAGAAAAAATGACACATGCCATCCCCGTTAGTTTGTTTTGTGAACAGAAATTTTATTATGAAAGGAAGAAATTGTCTAAGGACGTTGAAGAATGTGTACACTTCACATACTTTGGTAGTCACGAGTATTATCAAGCTAACTTGCTAATAAGATTACGTTATACCGGTTTACTCAGAGAAATAGAGGACCTGCCGATTCCGTTCCTACTCAGCTCTTGCTTGGAGAAAGGTTGACCAAGAGAATTAACTCGTCCCATATAAGGTAATCAAAGACACTCTTCGAGTCTGGATCCCACGCTGCGCCGGGTGCCATTATTCAGCTACTGAATTCTGGATTCTTTGTCAGGGGAATTTGGATTCCGGACTGCAATCGTTAGAGGGATTCCAGATTTCTTGCGCCTCAGCACCTGATTCCAACGCAGAAAACCCAGTTGTTTGAAGGCCAATTAGTGCTAACCCGGGTTTAAATGTTAATCCAGGCCCCGGTCCCTGAAAGGCCGATTAGTACAATTCCAGGATTAAAAATTTTGTTCCCCTCTTGAAATTTACCTTTCTATGCATCGCTTCGGGTAACATGTTATCATCACCGAATCTCGGAGTAGAGACACAACAGTATGTTGTTCGCTCGAGTGACATGTTCTTAGACTCAAAACCTTGCTTAAGATTTGGCTTAATCCTGGGTTAAACCGGACCAGCTTTCGAGGAACCGAGGTTTCTTTCTCTTCGGTTCAAAAGCATTTTCTCCGATAATTTTCTCTATTTTTTAGAGCATCCATGGCCAATCACCAAAGTGTAGACAAAAAAATTATACCGAGTTTGCTGTTTAAGCTTTCATATCTGAATTCAAATTTTGCACTAACCATGGGTTATCTTAACCCATCTTTGAACAATCCGGCCCAGGATTCAGGATTCCGGATTCCACAAGAAAAAACTTCCCCGGATTCTGGAAACCGAATTACCTTACATAGGGCGAGTTGATTCACGAGCCGATCCGATATGGCAACATTACCAGTTTTACAATAAATTACTCCAGATTATTATACATTGCACACATTTTCTGTCTTCTCACATTGGCTAAGAGCCTACATTTAATTTTGGAAATCAGGGCAACCTACAGATTAATCAAAAGCTTGCGCGCGCAAAGAATGATCAGTCAATTCCTTGTGACGATGTGTTCATCGCTATTTTCTTCAAAACAATAGAGAGATTTAGTTTCTCAAAATAGAAAATAAGTCAAAAACGATTCTTATGGATGAAAAGAATGCGAAAGTAATATATTTTTGTCATATATTTTTGTAGAAGTAAAGAACGTTAGATCATGTGATCAAGATAGCATTCGGCTCCTGATGTGGTTCAAATTTACGGTTGCCGTAAACGTGATTCTAAATCTCTCTAGAGTATATATGATAAAACAAATCTAAGTTTCGGCTTTGTGATATCCTAAATCAATAACAAGTCTCGGTAAGTGTCATCAGCTAAGCCTCGGCCTTCGGCTCGGCTGATAAACTTACCTCGACCTTGCTTCTGATTCCGGATATCGGAAAAACCTCATCCAATAATTGTTTATCATTAAGAATTTCCTGGCTCCATTCCTGTTTTCGGATTTGGGTTTATCATGATCAAAATCAGGTCCCGGTTGATCATGATAAACACAAATCCGAAAACAGCCTGGTACTAGATGAAGCAACCCTGGTTGGATTATGGTTAGGCTTGGGTAAATTCTGCCGGCCGAATTTCGAGCAGAATAAGCTATTTTTGACAGCAGAATAAGGCATTTCGGAGCAGAATTTGAGCAGAACAAGAAGACGCCCGGAGGCGCTTACGCGGGATGTGTGGGTTTAAGAAAGAATTACGGGTATGTTGGATGGAAATGGAAGTTGAGTAGTGTATGCAACAAATGTGTGCAGGAGAGACAGAGATGTTCTGTTAAGGACTAATACACTAGAAGATGATTTATACACAAGGGTTCCTTTGCTACTCAAAACAAAACTTACATCAATATTACCACCATATGTTAGGAGTATGGGGTAGTTCACTAACATTTGCATTCCTTTACTAATTAATCTCCTCAAAAAATGCACTTCCACATTTAACAATAGCATGTAATGTATCATACTTCCAATAACTACAGGGCTGCAAGGAAGTGCTCTAGGGAAAATTTCAGGGACCCCTTTGGGCTCCCCAAGCATTTTTAGCTGGGGTGCCAGGGCCTCTAAGTTGGTCGCCCAAATTAATAAATCAGTGAGCTGTTAGTTAATTATGAAAAATTAAACAAATTATTTTCTTAACAAGTCAAGCAGAATTTTGTGAATATTTTTTTTCATGAAAAATCACATCCCTTTGACCTCCTGAGCGTGCGAAAAAAAAAAACCCGCATGCTGTCATATGAAAGTAAGTTTTCGCGCCATATGAGAAACATGGACAACGCCGCCGAACATTTCATGTTTTTTAAAATTGGAAATGTAAATTTGGGGTAAAAAATAAGGGCACTATTCTTTTTACTAATCATTTTGATTTAGGTTGAAAAGAAAATTCGCTTATTAAGATTGACTGAGATCCCATGGAGCTTTCCAGGAAAACTGTTATGAATTCAACGAAACAGCGGCACCCCCTCGGGGGGTTACTTGCGTTAATTTTTGCTGGGTATGTGCCGCTGGCCTCTCAGAGCCCCTACCCCATTACAGTCTTTTCTGTGGCCAATTGTAGACACCATATTAGTCACTCTTGGGGAAATATGTAATTTTTGCGATCCCAACTTAGTCACTTTCCATTTATGTATCTACCTTATCAGGAGCCCAGTCCTTTAAATAGGTGATCAAAAAATGAATTGACCCATTTTTTAATAAATTGAATGAAGAACACTTTACTTTTCACCTACAGTACAAATATCCTGATAGGTTTGCTAACCGTAAATATGAACAGCTCTCTTACCCCAAAAATCCGAAAATGTGCGACCCATTCTAGTAACTCTTTTGAAAATGCAACCCCATTAATAGTCAATCTAGTCGTGAAAATGCGACCCCATCCAGCGGCACATCCCCATTAGCCTCTTTATAAGGAAGACACCCCCCCCGACCGGGGGCCGCCCCAAACAACTATTATCTCTTTTGAATAGATCATCTTGTTGTAGAGTCGTCGTTTAAGCGCAAAACGGAAGTATTTTCTTTCTATACTACCGGTGAAATGTTCAGGACAAATGTAGATTCGGTTAGCTTTTGCGTATTTATTTTTAGTACGTGATACGTAATGCCTTGTCACGACACGAAAGACAATGCGGGATTTATACCCGATTCTAGAACAATCACAATTATAATAGTCGCCTCTTTTCTTTTTTATGCATCGTATTTTACTGGAATAACAATCTTAGTTATGTTTTATCCTCGCAGACACAGCAGTCAAAAAAGGTAAAAATATTTAAATAACATAAAAGACCGACTAATACAAACTATTGTTTTGCGTCGCCGACCGTACTTCACGACTGTCAGAACAAAAGTAACAACTTGTTTTGAAAAACTAACTAATGAACAATCCTAATTTGAAGAAAAAATTTCAATGTCACTATGAAAAGCTGTTACTATCGAAAACTGTGCAGCTTGTCATGTTCATAGTCAAGGATTATGTTACATGTGAATTTACGTGAAACGAACTTTGAACATCAACGCGTGCCCGCTGCCCGATTTAACAACATTTTCCTAAAGCTTTTTGATAGACATGCTACTTATTGCTACTTACAGAGTCGACCTCAAGAGTTTCTTAGCGAGAGGAGCGTTCCTTTTAGGCCGCGAAGCCACCGAGAGAGCTACGATTTCGCAAGTAATAAATTCTAGACATTCTTAGCTTTTTGACTGTAACTCATCAACAGAAACAAGAAACCAACACCAGCAAGTCACCCGGCTGGGCCACCTAGACAATATTTTCAGTCGCCCGAGGCCAAGTCTTGCGCCGTATTAAGAGCACGGCCTTGAGTCTTCGTCCTTCTCTATACAGTGAGCTTACCTTTCCCTCCTTTGCTGACGCAGTATCTCTTATCGGCTTGTGCAACCAGCCTGACTTGCACGTGCTTCGACGTTGCGGCCAATAAAAATCCACACAATTTTTCGGGACGGGCACGGGATACGGGAAAGTTAAAAAATACAAGGCATTTTTTGACTCCCAAGACGACGAAAGGAATGCGCTACCGAATTTTAGACGCTGGCTGACTACGTCATCCCGCGTAATAAGGGAAAATCAGCGGCTCTAATGATATGCGCAACAGATGTAAGAAAAATTTACAACTTAATAAAGAAAACAAATGGAAAATACCTTTTGATTAATTTGATTATTTAATAACTACAACACACTCACATTAAAACACTTTTTTGGCGCATTACGAGTATCTAAATATCTAATTAGTTTTGGGGGGTTAGGCCCAGGGTCCCTTCTATATTTGAGACGGCCCAAAGGGCCGAAAATTTGTTGGATACCGAGCACTCTTCGAGCAGATTAACGGTGTCCAAGCAGAATTTTGAGCAGAATAACCTACTTTTACGAGTACTGCTGGTATGCAGATTAAGCCATCGTACGAGCAGAATTCAGTCTTAATTCAGTCACATGTCAGTCACAAACAGATTAGTATTCCCCAGTCCTCTGCATGTTCGGCAACCCGTAACCGTGGGTCTTGTTTAATGTTTGCAGCAGTTCGGGCTTCGGAGAGCGAGACAGGAAGAGAATTTCATAAGTGCACGAGATGATGCCGTTGGAGGATAGAAGCACAGAAGTTGAACCAGATGCTCATATCAAAGCATCTTCAAGCAATGAAGACGATCCAGAAAACGAAGAAATTGCCGGCGGTTAGTATACAATTTATTGTAGGTTTGTAGCTGACGTTTGGGGTAAACTTTGATACATTTTGGTCCAGGCAGAACAAATATAAAGGCTCGACTGTAACCTGCGATAAAAAATATATATATATAAAATGATAAAGAATTATGTAGACCTAAGCAGTAACTAGCAGTGATCAGAGATTTGTAAGTGCGTTCAAATGTTTGAATTACCAATGAAAATTGCTTTGTGCAGACCACGTCACCAAAGTGGAGAAGGTTGTTTAATTTAGTGAATAATGTGGATGACTTTAATCATGTAAGTTTGACAGAGCTATGTTCTGTTTCTTTATTAAGACCGAAGTATCATACAGTTTCTCCAGAGTATGGAACGCCAAGTGTAACAAAAGTGCTCAAAAATTAAATAAGCTTATAGGTTGTATCATCGAGTATGTGATGTACTCAGGGTTGTCAGAAAGTTTTGAAGTAGAGGGTCAAAGTAAGCGGCCAGTCCAGGGATATTTTATTTAAAAAACGCCATCCGTAAAGAAATGCTAATCAGAGTAGCTGGCCAATTCTAACCAAGTACATGTAGGCGGCGATTTTCACCTACAGCCGGCTTCTTTTGACAACCCTATGTAGGGTTGCAAATTGCATGTGTTTACATGTAGTTTACTGTGAGGTAAAATACAGGTTGGAAATTTGGCCATATATGTCTCTTGAAACTCAGTATGTTGTTACAACCTGAAATACAGTCAACTCCCTTTATTACGGACACCGTAGGGACCTCGAGGTACAGCTGTAGTGTCCTCATTAGTGAGAGTCCTTAATAGCAGGAGTTTGTTTCAGTCAAATGTCTGTAATTTGTTTTCGCCGGGGATTTTAATAGCTGCTGTCCATTTTATTGAGGTGTCCGTTATAGCACGGTGTCCGGAAGGCAAGAGTTGGCAGTAAATAGGTTTTAATTGGGTTGTTCCAGAAAAAATCCACACCCCCCCGACGGATGGGATTCTGGAAATTCTCGCGGGAGGGGGGGTCGAAGACTCCGGAAATCCAGGCGGGAGGGGGGGTTGACCTTAAAAAAGTCTTCTGCAGGGGTCATTTCGACCGATAGTTGATACAAATCAAACGTTTAGTTCGATGACACTTAAGCGCTTTCAGACCCTGAAAATAGTCAAAATGTTTTGTTCATATATTTCTCACCTGACATAAATGATAATCTAAGTTGCTTTACAGGTCCTTTTATAGCAGAAAACGCAAACAAGATACTAAAGAACGGGCCTGAAGGAACTCGTCGCAACGTTGTTGTCACGAAGAGCGTCAAACGCCTGACACATTTCTACTGCACCCAGAGCCCATGCAAGAGCGAAGAGTGATTTTTATAAGCTAAGAAATTATGTAAACACTGTTCAGGTGTCGTTAGCATTTTTGTTTTTTGCTCCTTTCGTTTTTAGTTCCACGCGATAGAATTCTAAGTTTAATATAAGCTGAAGCTTTAGAAATTAAAACAAAAACATTTAGACGTGTTTGCGTGTATTTTCCATTAAAAATAAATTAAATTTAAGCCTTTTATTTTTTCCCGGAAATCCAGACGGGAGGGGGGGCCTTCCACCTTGGAAATCCAGTTGGGAGGGGGGGTCTTGTGCTTCAGGAAATCCAGGTGAGAGGGGGGGGTTAAAAAAGGACCCCATCCGTCGGGGGGGTGTGGATTTTTTCTGGAATAACCCATTATCGATTCATTCACTTATCCAAAAATCTTCGGAACGAGGTTGACATGCGTGTCACAAAACTGTTCCACATGAAAACAACGTTTTTTAGTGCCATTAATGCAAAGTACAAGTTTTCTGATATCGAAATCAGTTTGCTGGGGTTGTCAGACCTACATGTCTTCTAGTTTCACCTCAGTTTAACGTGCCGTTTGCTATAATATTATTGTTTTCTTTCTAGTGGGTAGAATATGCTGTTGAGGACTCCTAACTTAGCAAATGGTCAGTTTTGCTGCTTGACTTGCTTGCCACATTGAGAGGTCAAATGAACTGAGAAGTGTTGAAGCTTGTCTGTTCCCTGGTTTGCTTCATTCATATTGTTTTCGTGCAGTTTTTGTTTCTGACAGAATTTGGCTACTGAAACAGTTATCATTTTCTTTGACCTGTCTTCCATGAAGTGTCAAGCTTTTTTACATTGCGGCTAAAAAACTTTTTAGTGAAGCTTTTTCTTCTCAGACAATGAGTAACTAAATGGAGTTATTTTAGGATAATTAACAAATTGATAATTACAACCTCTATATTTCAGGCTGTAATAACATATCGAGTTTCATGCGACGTACAGGTTGCATAGATGGCCTAAATTCCAAGATGTATTTACCACACTGTAAGCTATGTACAGCTGTATCCATATAAAAATTATATGGAGTTTTTCAACCCATTAAAAACACAGTACAGCGGGAGCGCATACTCTAAGATACAAACTAATTTATTTTATTTTTGAACTTTTTTGTCCCTCTTGGTATTCCATACCAGTGCTTATGTAGCTGCTCTACTAATCAATATTAACCCGAGTGAAATATAAGATCAAACGTAGCATAAAACAATGAAGTTAGCATGGGGATTTGAGCTAATTAGAAAAAATAAATATATGAAAAATATGTGATTGTTTATTCAAGAAGATTCACTATTCTGGTTGGCTTTAATCCCCTGGCTTTCATTATTCCCATATTCTTAGAAATGCAAGGTTGTGTAAGATGTCAATATTAAATCATAGTAATATTGTTGTCATGAGCTGTATTAGCTTTAATTTTAGCTGCTTGCAAAAAAAATTGTTGTTGTTGTTGTTGTTGTCAAAGAACTTCCCTTTTTCTCTTTTCAGATAAAAGCAATTTGCTTATTAAAAATCAGAAGAACATCAGAAACCTCATTGGCTTTTGGTATGAATATAACTAACAACATTTTTTTTGCTTATCATGGAGATCCTGCCTACAAAATTTTAAATCAGTTTGATTGGGCTGTGCTAATAAAACTGAAAAATGATTAATACATGTACATCAGAACGGGAGAGCTAGGTACAGGTAGCAGTGAATTTTTAACTCTATGCCTCATGTGATGCAATAGTACATGTACAGGTGTATGGCTTACGGGAGGCATCCATGATGTCTACACAGCTTGATCACATGTACGTGTAATTTGAAGTGGATGGCAGTTAAAAGGGAATCTAGGAAGTTTTTTCTTAGTTGACGTACTCTTTATTTCCTTCTTATATGTATTTATTATTATTATTATTATCATCGTTATCATCATTCATTTTTGTGGAGGAAAAAGGGAAGAGTGATGCACAAAGTTAGTACAGTGGGTTACCTCAATATATTGTAACAAAGGGCCAAGGAATTGGCAAAATGTGTTCGTGATAACAAGGTTCTGTTATATCGAGGTTCTTTTAAATGGTTTAAAAGGTTTAAAGGCTTGTTTATAGTGGAAAGTGCACTTAGCTTATCCAGCTACACTGCAGTTTACAGGCATCCCACTCAAATACTTAGAAGCAAATAATTCAAATACCAACATAACAGGATTAAAAACTGGCAGGAGGAAACCAGTTGGCTATTTACAAGCATGGCCGAGGATTTCAACTTGGTACAACCGAGAAGAAACCCAGTAAGTGGCTGGAGCAGGACGTGAACTCGGGACCACTGGATTGCGAGCGCGATGCACTGACCATTCATCTTCACTGCTTACTTATTTTACTATCACTATCACTATCACTATTGTTTGTCATACTGAGGTTTTCACTACATGAAATCCCTTTTGCACTCCCCTCCCCTGCTGGACACACTTCAAATTTGTACGCGCATGTACATGTATCTACAGCAATAATGGTTGACTTTTAGAAGGATGTAAGAATCCTGATCTTAATTACCTGGCAATGTTTTGATTCACAACAACAATATTGAGAATGTCATGTCATCATATTGCAGTATTGTTGCAACATTACTTTATTGAAGTTGCCACATTGTTCCAACATTGATGTCCTAAAAATTGTCATTGCAAATCTTTGTGTGTAACATTACCTTTAGTGGAATGAAATTTAAATACATGTCACTCCTTTTGTTTGAGATTGTATTTTATTTTTAACTGGTATTAATTTCTTGAGGTTCCAATATTTTTCTAGGTTGCTGGGTTTGTGCAACAACTTTGGCTATGTTGTCATGTTAAGTGCAGCTCATGACATTCTTGCCGTCAATGGCACCGATCAGGTACTGCGAAATAATTTGTTAAAGGTTCTGTGGTCACTTTTGTAACGGCTTGTAAAAGATACATTACCATGGTGGCAAAATTTCAGGATCTCAACGATCCTTCTTGACGGCGATGGCTATTTGCATTGTCAAACAATGGAAGAAAAGTATGGGCTACTGTTTTGTTCCCAAGTGCAATCATGCATCAGAAAGTCATACTGTACATGTCAGTTTTTTTGTTTTTGCTGCCATATTTGTAGGACCATGGATTGTTGAGATCCAGAAATTTTGCTACCATGACAACATGATGTAACAATTTCTCCTTTCTACAGGGTTTGCATGCACTTTGAAAGTCCTTGAAAATTGCAGTTGGTGTTGGATTAAAGTCCTTGAATTTCAGTGCTTTCTTTGTCCAACCCATATTCTCAAGTGCCTAAAAGGAGCAAATTACACAGAAAGACCTTCAGGATAAAACTGCTCATGTTGTGGAAGAACTAAAAAACATTTGAATGGAGTCATTGAAAGTCCTTGAAAAGTGCTTGAATTTTTTTGTTCAAAAAAGGGTACGAAACCTGTTTCTGATATTACAAAAATAGAATAGAGTTTAACAGATTATCTACTCTGGATGTAAGCAAGATCTTTCCCCTATGTTAGTCATGTAGATTTTCTATTTACACTGGATGTTAATAATTAAAAGTATTTGGTGTTGCTTAACCCCCATATACACATACACATAATAGCCAATTTTGCCTTCAGTTAACCAAAATTAAAGCAACAGGGGGGCTCATTTCAAATTACACTGTATTAATAAAATTGAATGCAATTTACCATTTCAGGCAGCTGCCACCAACTCAAGCACGTCAGAGTTGTCTCAATCCTCAAATGTCTCCGATGGATTAGAGTGCAATCCTCTGTCAACTGGGGTATGTATTATTTAGATTCCCGTAAGTTCATGTACAAGCCTGCTGTACTCACAAATGAACCACCTTTGATCCCTGATTGACTTTTCAAGATTTTTTTATAATCTTTGGATGAAATCCATGATGGTTTAACCATTCAAATGAATCTATCTTAAGATTTCACAAAAGGGAATTAATTTTCCCAAGCAGGCAATATACTGTAGGCCCACTTGTATAGCCAATCAGAATACAGGATTCACTCTGTCTTGCATTGCTCCTTTGCAGCCAAAAAACAAAATAACAAAATTATAATAATTATAATATAATGCTACTGCCTTTTGACAATAAAGTGCATCACAACATTTAAATGTGGGGTAATTAACCTTCATTTTCCTTTGCAGACTGTTTTGTTGGCAGACATTTTACCAACTCTTATCATAAAGATAACAGCTCCTTTCTACATGCAAAAAATTAAGTACAGGTATACTTAATTTTTGTTGTTATACCTTAACTATTTACACCGTTTTACTAGTCTTTGATGACACTATTATAGGGTTTATCCTTCTTATAAAATCTTCTTTTAAAATTTATTTGCAGTATACGAATAGCAATCTGCGTGCTCTTTGCCTTCGCAAGTTTTTTTGTTGTGGCATTTTCACATGTCCTTTGGTTTAGTCTCTTGGGTAAGAATTCTGCTCCATCTATATGCAGTTCATAGTGTAGTTAAGGGTTTTACGTGAAGTTTCCATTATGTCTTGCCTCTGATATTAAACCTACAGTTAAATCGTTTGTTTTGCGTTTCCAGGTACTTTAGGAATTTCTGGGTGGGGATGTACCGTTGGGATCCTGGAACCCTTAACCTATACTAGAGCTAGTTCAGCTGAATTTTGCTACCCTATACTAGAGTAAACTCCCCAAATCTCTCCTATCCTAGAGTAGCTGTTTTCCAGAAACTACTAAGGTCACTAACACAGTCTAGCCAAAACAAAAGCTTATACCACAATCCCTAGTCTAGATAAAATCTTCAACGAACTGAGTGATCAGTTTCCTAAAAAATGATACCCTATAGCTATTCTAGACCCAAACGCTCTGATTTATATACCCTATCCTAGAGTAAACTGCTTGAAAACCATACCCTTCACAGCAGCACAGCATACCTATATAGCCCATATATGGCAGTACCCCCCCCCCCCCTACGGGAAGCAAGCGCGAGTCATGCAGGGGCCAGAAGAGGCGCGAGAGTCACGGTTTTTGTTTTCTTTTGTTCTTTTTTATTATTAGTCACGCCACTCTTGTCGCGCGTGACTCTCCCTCGCTTTTTTATTATTAGTCACGCCACTCTTGTCGCGCGTGACTCTCCCTCGCTACTCCTCTGAAATACAAAATATAACGCCCGCTCTGCAGGCTTCACATCTGTTTAGTTTTAGCTTACTGCTGATGTCAAATGACATCATGTTAGGCAATTATAGGGCAAGAAATTGCCATTGAGCCACAGCCGAGTTTTTCCCTGAATGATGTTCATATCGCATTTGACGTCCTCAATGCACCTAACTAAAGAGGCACGCCAACTGCAAAATGGATTATGTTGGTTTAAATCATTACAATGAATTAAAAGTAGACTAAACTTGGTGATTTTCGAGAAGTCGTTTCCTCGCTTTTCAGTATTTTGGTGTTGAACAAAGCAACACGAAACAACTGTGACTGTAAAACTTTTTCTTACGTGGAACACTATGATCACGTTGATGATGACGACAAAGAGGACGACAAAGGCGACGGCGGGAGCCTTTGAATAATAGGCTGATTTCCCAACAGGACGGGAACGTAAGTTGGCGACGGGAAAGCGCGCGGAAAGGACTAAACACGACTTCCGGTGCCCAATTTGCCGTTTTGCGCGCGCCGTCGTCAATTGACGTTCCCGTTCTGTTGCTAAATCAGCCTAATATAAGCCATAGGGATTTATTTTCGTAAATTTACCTGATTTTTGGTATTTCATGTATGTGACCTGCATTGTCCTTACTGTTACATTGATGCATTAATTTGATCATGATTTTCTTGTTTAGGTGTTGTATTTGCCAGCATTAGCTCAGGATTTGGTGAAATAACGTTACTTAGTTATTCAGCTTATTTCGACAAGTAAGTCATCCAGTCACGGTTTAGCCTACCCCACTTAATTTAGTTTTGACTGTATTTTCTGTAAAACAAACCTGTTTAACGCTGATGCATCTGTGAGGCGCACACTAGCCGGAGTCCCGTGGGTGTCAAACAATTCATACATTGGCTGCTTTTACCATTGCACTAAGAGCCCAATGAATCACCTTTTTATCGTTAGGCTTTGAGACCAAATCTTGGGGGCTGTCGACCTATTCACTTTTTCCCGGTGAAAGTCCACGGAACGTTTAAGTCAGACCCACCAACCCCCCCGCCCCACCCTCTCTTTAACGTCCACTTGAAATTTTGCTGCCCCAGAAGAAGGAAAACTGACATACACTTACATGAAGATGTCAACGACCGGTATCATCATAATTTACTGCCTATGAAACGTGGTACAAACTTTATACTTCGAATAATGCTCTCCCTATCTGTTCTCCTGCAAAATCTGCATCTCTGCTTTTTCCTGTTGATCCTTTTGATTTCCTGCTACTCTAGAGTATTTAGAGGTCAAGGCCAGAATCGCCGGTACATGGTCCCCATATTTTTAAACCGGCATATTAAACCAATATCAGCAAACTAACCACAATTTTTAGTATTGTAAAAATTTGTTGGTGATTTAGGATAGAGTTTAAAAAAACACAAAGTAAAATGTAGAATTTACTTGTAGTTAAGAGCAGAGTTTTTAGAAAAAGATCACAATTTACACGCCCTTTTTTTAACTGGTCCTGCATGTTTTCTCTTACATAAATGTCACGAGCGCCGTTCCACAGTTGACGTAAAATTTATGAAAATGAATCAGTTTGCTTTTGTCTAAAAAAGGCTTTGCACTAACGTCCACTGCCTTACCCCCCCCCCAAACGTGCAGTTGACGTTAAGTGGGGATAGAAGTGAATATGTCGACGGCCCCTTATAGTTTATTATAAGTATGATTCATTAGCTAAGCAACTTAGTTGATTACGACTCACAAGTGACTTTCTGTTTCTTGCTTTTAGGGATGTAGTTTCCACGTGGTCCTCGGGAACAGGTAGGAGTGGTCGCCGAGTTGTGAAAGTTGTCACAGGAGGACGAAACGCACCGTTAGCTACCCTACGAACATGTTCCACTTGTTTGGGTTATAACGCGATTATCTTAGCGGCGAAGCTGCCGGCGAAGAGAATGGTTCGCTGCTCAGTCTTTTCCCGCCCTTTCGGCTCTGCCGCTAATATGCTTGCGTGATACCCCAAATAAGTGTAGTGTGCTCGCAGGCTAACGCACTGTGGGCGTGGGAGACCTGTTTACTGCTGTACATGTACTTACGTGTACATGTACATTTAAGTTTGGACGGACGAAAGCGGAGATTTTCGAATACGATGATGTCATACATCACATACTACAAGCATTACGCATGCTCCATGCAAGGGATGTTACAAGCAGTACCCATGCTCCTACGCGCGGAAGGGATTTTACGGATACGAGTGGATGACGCCTAACCACTATTCTGTTGTACATGCAGGAGCTGCTGGTGTGTTCGGTGCATTGGCTTATGCTGGCTTCACATCAGCCGGAGTATCTCCAAGAAATACCGTGTTAATAATGAATGTTATACCATTCACCTTAGGAATTAGGTGAGTTTGTGGTCTTCTTCGCGTGTAGGCAAAGGTCGCATTAGAGATTTTTAGATTCGAGGACAGGAACGACTACGAGTAGGAGATTTGACTGAAAGTGTTTTCCCATATTTTGAAAAAAATAGACTCCCCAGAAAGCTTCGTCAGTTGTTGTTGTTGTTGTTGTTGTTGTTGTTTTTGTCACCAGAAACGTTAGCACTGTTATCTTTATTTGAATTATCCCGGTCGCAAAAGGACAAAATCTCTAACATTTTATCACTTGTTTTTCTTGAAAAAACTCGTAGCAGATTGTTAACAACTATCACGTTTTACCACCAAAATGACGCCGGTTCACGCGCACACACTACTTAGTATTGAGAAAATCTCGTTCTCGAAGTCGTCCTCGTCTTAGAATCTGAAGGTCTCCATTATCTCCCTAGGCGCCGTACAACCTGTTTATGCCATTTCAGCCTCTCTTGTTCAAGGGGTGTAGATAGCATTACGATTATTTTCTTTATTATTACAGCCATCAAAAACAGCTTCATAGCTCGAAGAGCAGGCTCATATAGTGCTAGAAAGTATAACAATAATTAATAATAATAATGAATGATGATGTGAACTGCGGAAATGCAAATTTTAAATTATGAAGATATTATCGTCGCAATTGCAAATTAACCCGAAAAAAAAATTGGCACTTCAACGGGATTCGAACCCATGGCCTCTGCGTTAGTGCTGCAGTGTCCTAACCAAGACCCATACATTGGGGGCAGGCCAATTTGTTATTAGAGAGTTTTAGATCCGAGTTTACCGCGAACCTCTAACCACTGGAGGTCACGTGACAAGTCTTTCGCGTCACGTTTGAGGTTTACGACGTGCGTTTTCAACGCGGGAAGATAGGTTTTCACGTATGTCATTTACCTGAAAGCTTTTAGCGTATAATTCTTGTTTTATCCCACTTAATGATACAAAAATCTTGTGGAGCAAGTCTTTATCTATTAACAGAGGCACAAATTCGGGGAAAATGCTAAATTTGATAAATCCTATTGGATCTTGAAAACAAGTGCCATTCATGGCTGCTGATTCAAAATGGCGGCCGTAAAATATGCAGTGTTACCGTAAATTTCTTTTATTTTCACTGATTGATTTTTCTTCTATTTCTAAATGGAAAAATAAACCAGAATCCACTTCTTTAATCCACCGCCAATCTAAATCGAATTATGTTTGAACGTCGAACCGCGAACGGGTAACCGCAAACCGCGGTTAGAGGTTCGCGGTAAACTCGGAACTAAAACTCTGTAATAACTCGTGAAAGGATTGAAACAAAAAATGATGACGAGAACTGCGGAAATACAAATTAAAAATAATGAAGATATGATCGCCGTAGTGGTAATTGCAATTTAAGCAACTGCAAATGAACCGGAAAAATGTTTTTAATAATGATAATAAAAGGAAAAGAAAAATAAAAAAAAGTGTTATTGTAACAACAACTTTTCATACCTTTGATGCATTTGTTTGCCGTCAATGCACAGCTGCGACGGGGGACTTCTCAGTGCGACGTTCTACTTAAACACTCGGCGTCACATCTTTAGGTTGATCCTTTTTTTCTCTTTCTCAGCTAGGATGTCGTCCAGAGAAAATTCAACCCCTGAAAAAATTCCCTACCTTGGTCAAGTCGAGAAATAAAGTTTGATAGGAAAAAGAACGCGACCTGACCTCTCCTTCTTTTTCTTTCTTTCTTTTTTTCCTTTCTTTTTTGAAAATTAGCTATTGGTTTATACTAGAGCAGCCTCGAAGTGTCCGAGAAGAGGAGCCTTTATTATCCAACGCAGGAAATGACAGTGTAGCTGAAAATGGTGAGATGTGTTCTCCGAGTATTTGATGGAAATTAAGAAAGTCGTAAATGTTAACCCAAGAGTAACCAACAGCAATTTTCTCCTCGTAATATCAATACATTATCAAAGGAAAAGGTTATGAGATTTAATAAAATGATCACCTAGGGAAAATGCTTTGATCGTTTATCAAATTCTCTCAACTAATTCTTTAGGGAAATGTATGGAGATCAGTGTGGAGAATTTCTATGCGGATATCGGGGGGATATTGCTGTTTTAGGTGCCTTTACCCTTACATAAAATTCCTCTGTAGAGTTTCGAAGAAGATAAGAAGCAAATTTCATCAGGGAGCACTAGCCATAATAATTTGTTTGGCGATTTTTGGCGGGATACCATTAAAACTTGCAAAAGTTAGCCTAACCTTGCCATGCCCATCCTTGCCATGCCTCGCAACAGACGGCATGAAACAGTTTCAGTGCCTAATTGTAGTCTTATTTTTGGAATTCAATATTGATGCGAAGACTAGCTTTTTTATGAAGACAGCAAATAGCAAGACATAACTCCTTTAAAATATAGTATGAAATAGCAAAACTGGACCGTTATTGTTGGAATTCAATGGATGGGAAAAATATTATGTTACATAGCCCTTGTAACCAAGGCGATAACATAAGAAATCATCTTCGTCATCACAGACGGCCTTTTGGTGGTTTGATCGGTTCAAGTGACTTGTAGTCGGTATTCGCCTTGAGGGTGACTGTAGTTCTCTTTTTTGGACTTATTTTAGACCTTTAGATTCGAGGAAGAGAACGACTATGAGTACGAGGTTTGATTTAAAGTTTTTTCCCGTATTGTCAAAATATAGACACCCTGGAATTCTTTATTGTTATTTTTTTTCACCCGGAAAGTTATAGACTGGGGCAACTTTCGCAAAAGAGAAATTCTGTCGGCCAATTTGAGGAAAAGTTGGTAAACACACTTTTCTAGATGAGAATTATGTGCTGAACACGAAAATTTTGATTACCAAGGTTGGTTCGACCATTTAGACCTTGAAATTAGCCGTTAAGGTTAGCATTAATACATTGTGACATGAAAACGAGGCTGCATGTTGTATGAGGATGCAGAGTACTCTCTAACGGTTAAAATTCGTTCAGATCAACAGGTGACTGATACAACTTATTACTTACAGTACCTCGCAGAAACCGTCTGAAAATCACGTGATTTTTCTGGTCACGTGACCATTGAAAACGGGGTTATAGACTATTCAGAATTTTGACAAATTTGACGGCACAGTCAAAAGAGAAACAAAATTACCAATCCAGCAATTCGCTCCAATAGTTACAGCAGCTATAGAAATTTAATTTTTCCGCTATTTCCTAAGATATTTACAGTAAGTTTGCGATCTATATATTGCAGACATCTTACTTCCATTATTGAATTTCTAGATGTTTGCAAAATCCTTGAAATAATTAACAAAAACTGCATTTTCTTAAAACTACTTTTAACTTTCACGCCCTCACCATTCTGGATACATGCTGTACTTATAACTAAGAAGGAAGGTCATAACATTCGATTGATTGCAGCCATTTTGGATGCGTCTGATGTCAGCTTCTGAAACATATTTAAGACCTAAATTGATATTGTAAACATCAGACATCCTACAGGACGAAAATTAAAAAAGACCGTTATTAGTCCATAGACAATTATAAAACAAGAATAAAAATTTGTTAGAGAAGCTAAACGCTTTGTTCTGCTGAACTGTACCATTTACTGTCCTTGGTTTGCAATGACATTACCATCAACTTCATTTCTGCAATTGAGATCCTCAGTGCTTCTGCATTTTCATGCTCCTGTACACGGCAGTCTAACATTCCGGCAGCTGAACCTATTTGTTGAACATCCTGATTCGCAGCTACAGGTAATCATCTCGGTACAGCTTTCAGGTAGAGACTAGAGTCATTAGCTTAGGCACGAGCTTTCCATCATCAGAATTAGTCCATCCCATGGTTTCTGGAAGTGGGAGGGTGGGGTTCGTTTTGTGAGCTTGTCTCCATAACATTGCTTGAAAGCGTGCGCTAGTAATATGCCATCGTGCTGCATCACTTGTTGGGGGAAGTGCCTCTGGGGATCTGCACCAACCAAAAAACGTTGCACGTGCTTTATCACATCCCTCTGCATTAGCAGCATTGTACACTGCAAATGAATTTTTCTACGGACTTCACAGTCGTGTCATCCAGGTCTCCATCTGCAAAACTTTTCAATAGCGTTTGGTGATGAGGTGATGAGCAAATGCCTTCCAGGCAGTTTTCTTGCTATGCTCAGCAAAGAAAGAGACCGTATCACAGCCTGTTAGCGCATGAAAAGGAAAGATGGCTTCCCTGTACCCATCAAATGCAACATCTATCCGGTCATAGTCCTTTCCACAGACAAGGGCAGCTTTCAAAAATCTATTTACGAGATCGTCGAATTTGTTACACTCTGATGGTCTTCCTAGAGCCATGACTAATTCTTGACCGGCAATTACTATTGTCGAACGTCCTGGGACTGGTGTGGCCCGAGGATGTTCCATCCCACCCGAGACAGCAGCTCTATCATCACAGATTGATTTCCAGATTGTGGCTGACCATTGGTATCTGCGATAGCAAGCGAAACAGAGACTAACTCGTAACTGAAGCAAATGTACTCTTCTACCTGCATCGTACGCTGTAATGATGCGCTGGAGGATCATTCTGTCAGCTTCGATAGCGGCAGACTTTTCTCTTTCTTTCTTTTCAGCCTCATAAAGAGAAACAAATGTCACGGCTTTACTTTTGGGAAGAGGATCCCTAAGCTTCTTACAATTCTCATCTTCGTTTGGGATCATAAGCCTTTCTTTAACAAAAGTGTCCAGTTGTTTCTGGCCGAGGCTGTCTGCTTTCAACAGCGATTCTCATCTATCTGTGTGGCTGCCACGTCCTTAGTAACCATGTTTTTTAATCTCTCAAGAACCGTTTCTGCTTGTTGATTGACGTTGAAGATGTCAGTTTGCCTGATGCAGCAACTCGCAGCAACAAGCCACAACAACACTGCGGCACGGTCATCTTTAGCTATATCTATTGATCGAGATATACTTCGTTAAAAGTAGCAATTTCAAGGAATGATACTTGCTCTCAGCCACAATTAGGTGGTCATTCACACCCGACACACGCAAGGAAAGGTCGTGGTCACACTTTGCTCCAACAAGTATCTGCTGACTCATTTTAAACGGTGTCACTGAGAACAGTATCTGCTTTTTAAACATTGACCCGTCTTAACAAAAAATACACAGTTCCCATTCGATAGAAGAGGTTTTGCTGCGGAGAGCTGAACTTGCAGCCACTTCTGGTAGTGGATGGGTATCCTTCGACGAATCAAGCGATTTCCTTAATCTACTTAATTATATCTTACCCTTATAAGTCTACTTTGCAGAGCAGCTCTTGTGCCAGCTTAAATCCTCAGCTTTGTTTTGCTTCGATTGCCTCCAATATCGCGTCTGTTACATCTGTATTGTTTGTGTCTCCTAATTTTCTTTGTTCTTCAGAGGACTCTTTCAGTAACGCAGGCCTTGCTGTATTGCGTTAAAGAAGATATCTTTGTTCGTTTCCTGGCATTTAATGCATTTACTGAAGGAGAGTGTAAGGGCAGATCTCTTCCAACTTAGCCGCTTCTCCAACATTAAAAATCATGTAATCCAAGAAAACAATCTTTCCATGCAACTCTCCATAATAAAAGTAACTCGAATGAGCAGAATGGTTTTTGGAATGAAACGTAGAGCCTGACTTTCGTTTTCTAGCCAGGGCCAACGCTTCATGCAATTATATGGCTTTGTTTGTTTTTTTTTTTTGGCCCAGTAAAAAGGGTTTTTAAAAACAAGTTATCCATCCATGAAAAATCACAATGCTGGAGAAGTGACTTGCTTAAAGCTTTACTGTTAAAAAGTACTTAAAAGATCGACTACATAAAATCTTTAAATGGAGGAAAACGAAAAATAAAATTCAGCGGATACCTTTCTGTTGAAACAAACATATGACACGCTTCACTGACTTTCGTTTCCTAGGCAAAGTCAAAGCTTCAAGCATTAAAATGGGTTTACTTATTTGATAATCTTCGTAGCAAAAGAACATTTTTTGCAAGTTTTCCATCCATGGGTAGTGATTTGTTTTAAGCTATACATTGGTAAGAAGATGGACGATATAAAATCGTTGAATGAGGGAAACGCAACGCAGGATAAAACTTGGCGCAACCTTTTTGCTGCCAGATCTATTTTTGTTTTAATGCTCGCACCAGATGTTACTAGTCCTGATGAAGACTTTTTGTACTAACTGAAATATATTCCTTATTAAAAATACCCTTGGCATAGTTCATCCTTAATCAAAACTGGTTTTATTTAAAAGAACATGTTTCCTTCAGATAGTTATACGACGAACACACTCGTCAACTTCTTTCACTAGCGTCTCTGAATTTCCAAATAACTTTTTTTCGGGCTTCAACCGTCTATTAGTTTATTTCATAACAAAAAAAACTTACAGTTAGCTAATTTGGGCGGTAATTTGAGTCAAATGTGGTTTTGAAAAGCGGGGAAAATTTTAGCCTCGTTTCCATGTCCAGAAATAAGCTCATTTTTTCGAGGTCAGATTTTGTGGTTAAAAACTCAAAATCAAGCTTGGTAAACAAATTTTTCGTGTTCAGCACATAATTTTCATCTAGAAAAAAGTATTTACCAACTTTTCCTCGAGTTTGCCGACAGAAGTTTTATTAGCGGCTTTTTACCAAAAGTTGTCCCAGTCTATTAGCACTGTTATCGTTATTGACGGAGGTTGAACTCGTAGTCGTACTTGTCTTAGAATCTAAAGGTCTCTACTATTGATGTGTTTCCAATGTCCGGCTAGACCCTTCCACGGTACTTTCAACTTTTGAGTGGGAACAATTAGCGAAAATCCGTCAACGCGGCGGTAGCCTGTGCGCAGCACCCCCCCCCCCCCCCCCCCCCCCTCAGAAAAAATCGGCTCTTCTTGCTGGGTATACGGTACAGCGATTTAAGACATGTCTCTCAAATTTTGCTTCTTCTTTTTCCTTTTTTTTTATTCATTTTAGATTTAAACTTAAGTCCTATATTCTCTCTCATTTGCAGAACCAGGAGACCATCCTAGTAATTCTTTATCTTTGAAAACAAAACTCGGTATAACCAAGGTAGGATCGCAGTGCTCGTTAGCGCTTTCCGAGTCATTTTATCTCAGTGTCTTGAGCTACGTGCAAACGGACACAATAACTCACAACATTGTTGTGCCAACAATGTCGTGAATTGTTGCGATCGTGTTGGCAGTGCTGTGCAAACGGATGCAACAACTTCCAGCAGTGATGCATCGTGCATCACTGCCTCGTGGGAAGAATACAACTCATAAGACTTGCTGTCTGCAAGGAGACCATGTGTTATGCGCTTGTGTGGCCCTAACAATGTTAGAAGTGGTGTGCAAACGGATCCAACATTGTTGCGCTACGCTTCGGCGATCACGGTACAATAGAAATGTTGGGAGTTGCTGGCTCTAAAGTTTGACCGGTTTCAAACTTTGGGCAACAACTCCCACCAACATGCAACAACATGCAACAGGGTGTGCAAACGGACGCAACATTTATCATCCAACAATGTTGGGAGTTATTGGCCAACAGTGTTGCGTCCGTTTGCATGGGGCTTGACAAGACCTTCTCGGTCAATGCATTTCTGTGACGTATCCCAGACAAACAGACCACGTGACCCAAAACGCATGGGTCGCTCGGAAAATGAGGCGTAGGGACTAAGCAAGGGCAGTACCACGCTGGTTTAATGCTTCTTCGGGAATTAGCGTTGCTGAGCAGTTAGAGCGCTAGACATGCAATCCAGAGCCACCGAGTTCAACTCTTCGTTCAAGTAAACATTCCCTAATTACCGAGTAAACATTCCTAATTTCTGCGTTTATTTACCAAATTGAGCAGAATTCACGTGATACTTAGTTTTTTCTTCATCTGGTTTCCATAAAATCGTCCGGATCATCTTGATCTAGGCTCCTACGCAGCCACTCTTTGTGTTGTCACGCAACGATCCATGGGAGTAGCGTTGCGTGACAATTACCTGTAAGAGATTACTTGATCACCCAAAACGTTTCAACATGTGTATAGGCGATCAGAGCAATCATGTGAGAATACCTCTAATGAGGGGCGGTGGGTTGATCGATCTTTTATCTGTTGTCACACGGCTCACGCTGTAACATAGTGAAATCATGATCTTGCGGCCAAAATTACCAAAACTACTTATTCAGAGAGCCTGCAGTGCATCAATGCTCAGAGAACCGCATGGCATCTTATTGGCCATGTCACGATGCGCTAAAGTGGAAGTATAAGTTTTAACTTACCTAGTTAACGATGGTGCCTCTCATCCCTTTCCACTGCTGCAGCGAGACGCGATGAGAGGCGGCTGTATTCTTTACCCTACCACGCAGAATTTTCTTTTTGCTCGTCACACAATCCTCCCCAAGTACAGATGGGGAAGGAATCTATGACGAAGCCCTTAGAACGTCTGTAATCTTCAGCTCGAGTTTACAGTGTAACCTTGACATGAGTCCGTCTTTGACATATTACTAGTTTTCAACCACCTGATAAGGTGACCATGTTGGTTGACAGAACAATATTTCCATTTTTTTCGCGGAATTTGCATAATTTTCCAGGGAGGGAAAGGCACAAGTCTGTTCTCGTCCACCAACAGGACGGCTGTGACATCGCTTGAAAAGCAGCAATTTCAAATTTTGATGGTTAAATTCCTTTTTAATCTCTCTACAAGAGATTCTTGGAGATAATTATGCGCATTTTCATTCTAAAATTCAGCAATCTAACAAATACCACTTATGTGTTAGGCTACATGGAATATCAGACTAAACCCTGCTATTAATGTTGTTGTTTTTTCAGTCGTTACTGAAGTATATGATTCCCTTGTTCTTTGTATATTTTGCGGAATATTCCATCAACCAAGGTCTGGTAAGTTGAGTTTAAATCTGTAGTATTTAAACGTCACTGGTATTGAATATGAAACGCTGAACACAACACTTAATCTGCATACGTATTCTGAAATACCAGAGCTGCTTTTTCTGAAAAATGCTGTAAAGCATTTCTTTCATAAGGGATACGGAACTGCAATCTCAGACAAAACAGATAAAAAATTTACACCTCCCCCACGCCCCCTATTTTGTCCAAGGTTCTAGCTCTCGCACCCATATACAGCCGAGGCCCCTCGGGTGTAAGGGCTGCTGTTTAAGTTTTTGAGTGGTAACCTTAGCCTTTACTATTTTGCTACTCTATTATGGACTTGACACAAACAAGCCTGGGCTATTGTTACCAAACAACTCTTACAAACTGGATGAAATTCTGTGATTTCGATGCCCTATTCCAGCTTAAATGACCTAAAAACCCTACCTTGGTAAGCGGCACATACCTGTTGAGTAGAGTTATATAGTAGTACCCCTCCCCCTCCACATCTCAATAATAGGGAGTTTAAGGAGCGACGTTTTTTATCGACGCATGTCAACCGGAAGTGAGCATTTTTGTCTTTCAGAGAATATGCATTGGCTCTACCAAATATGTATGCTAACTGTCTTTATTCTTAAAGACACGATTTGCTTAAGATTTTATTAAAAATCACGGCCGAAGAGTTCAAAAGTCCACTTCCGGTTGATTTGCGTCGCTCAAAAACGTCTTGGATTAAACTCTCTATTCAGTTTTTACGAACACATTACTATCTTGGAGCCTGGAACAGTTAGTTTGGGTAAGCGGGGGGGGGGCGGGGAAGGGGGCACAGGAAACAAAGAAAAGACGTTTCCGCGTATTACCCACCTGACATTGATGGCGACATCTGTATTGTGGTTTTTCTTTAGCATGAGCTGATTTACTGGAATGGAATCTGGTTGACACCGTCAGAGCAATATAGATGGTGAGATAAAGGCCCTTCCTACTAGTGAATCCATTCTTATACAGATTTTTTTGGGGGGGCGGGGGGAATTCACCCCAACAAGCCCATTTAACATTTTAAGCGAGTTGGAATAAACGCGACAAAGTTTGAGAAAGGCAATTTCATTTTAGTGTTTACTTTCCGCTGCCGCTGCAGTCTTTATCACTAAAACGCGATCTTATTGATGTAACCGAGCCGGTATTGGCGAATTAAACGTTTAACTTATGTAAAACTTTGTTCCAAACAGTTAACATGACCATTGTTCACGTTAGTGAAAATGCTGTAAAAAAGATGTTTCGAAATACAATAGATTTACTTTGAATTTCACCATCACTATCATTGCGCAAATGCAATCTATTGACATTCCAGCCCTAGCAGTGAAGCTGGACTTTGGAATCTGTAATTCAGCTCAAGGAATCCGAAATTCAGTACCTAGAATCCGGAGTCCACAGCGTGAAATCCAGAATCCAAGACTGTCTTGGATTGCCTTACACGATTATACGGTAGTAGACGTTTACTTATCCTTTCCTACCCAGGTACCAGGTGGATTATCAAATTGGCGTCCTTATATCTCGTTCGTCAGTGAATATTTTTCCCATCCGTAGAATCTGGCTACTAGCTGTATTGCAGGTATTCAAGGTGTTAGTTTGATATTTTAACAGAATTTCATCGTATCAGCTCTCTAGGTACTAGTTTATTGTCTTTTGTGCTGGCTCTGAGCTCTTGCGACGAAAGACGAATGATTTTTTGTCTAAATCACTGCACATCACTTATCAAGAGAGGTGGACGAAGTAGCCAGGCTCTCTTTACTGACGTTTGATCACATTAGCAGTAATTATCATCGATATTAGGCCCCGTCCACAAGTATCCGTTTTTTAATAGGATGATCTAATTACGATTTTCCTAGAGACGTATTTGGAACGTCTGTAAAGGTCCCAGCATTCCATACGAAACAATTCCAGATAAGAATGCATTATTGAAAATTTTATCCGAACTACGTCCTGGTTTTTTTTAGAACGTGAATCTCGTCGTGCTCGTTTGTGAAGCGTACTTTCATTTCCTGCCGTCTGTGTGGATCATGTTCGTCATCATTTTGTACGAAGGACTTCTTGGTGGTGCGTGCTACGTCAATGCATTTTACAGAATATCTAAAGAGGTGAGACATACTTGCTTGAGTAATGAGGCTTTTTCCATCTTTAACAGACCTTATTCACACGATACCAGCCATCTTTGTACGCGCTAAAGGACTGATGGGATACAATTAGTGTTGCATGGTTTCTCGGGGGGCAAACAACCGATAAAATCTACGAGTACAAAAACTCGCCGTTGCTTATTGTAGACAACAAAGGATAAAAGACACCTAAGGATGGTGGTGGTGGGGGGGGGATGGAGAATCCCTTATATAAGCCATATAGGTGCCACCCCAAAGCGTATGGTTTTGCACCGTTTCGGTCTGAAAACGGGGAATGGTTTTGCCCATGTTGGTCTGGAATCGGGTATGGTATTCGGGGAAACTTCGGGGGTGTATGAACGTAGTTGTCGCTTCAATTCCAAATGAATCAGAAAGAAAGAGAAATAAGCGATTTCGAAACAGTTTTTTTTTTCTTTCTGTTTGAGCTCTAGTCTAAAAATGATGACTTAATTTCTACCGATACCAGTTCTGAAAACGGGTGTGGAAAATAACTTTTTTTTGGTCTGAAAGAGGGTCAGGATTTTTGAGAACCGAGCGGCACGTACACTAGCCTGCGAAAACATCCGTTTCTCCTTGCTCTTCGCCGCTGGAGACGTTTCTCCGCGAAACGTCCCCAGCGGCGAAGGTAATTGAGGTACAACTCAACGAAACTCGAACTGATCATTAAGAAAGACAAAAATTATCGTCTCGTTTTGAAAGAATAAAGAAACTCGACCCCGATTTCTCGTATTGGCAAATTTTGGCGCTTGTTTGTCCCCTGAAAAACCACGTGATATTGCTTATATCTCGTCAATCTTTAAGCACATGCAAAGATGGTGGGTATCGTGAATAAGGTCTATTTACTGATTTTTCTTTTTCTTTTTTTTTCAAACGGAAACAATTATCGAATGAGATATAAGTCACTATTTACAAGTTTCTACCTTTACTCTAGATTAAACAAGAGTACAGAGAGTTCTCGATGGGTGTGGCAAGTATGGCGGATAGCTGCGGTATTGCACTGGCTGGGGCCGTCGCTTTACCCACTCACAATGCCCTTTGTTCATACTGGAGAAGCAAAATGTCAAGCTAACCCATGCCTGGGCTGCTACGATGAAAAAATTATCTTGAAATTGCTGTATCTGAATTCTTACAAAAAGAGCATATTTTTTTCATTCTATCGTCGCATTGTTTGCAGTACTAATTATAGAACTAACAGAACTTGACTGTTAGAATCAATAGAGAGATTTAGAATGACCTTTACGGCAAAAGTGAATGTTTAAATCACGTAACCAAGTTTTCTCTTTACCTGTCGTTTACGGTTTATTACTTCTGCAAAAGAAGAATATTTTCGTGTCATTTGTATCCATAAGAAGTTTTTGAGCTGTTTATGAGCGCATATTTTCTATTTTGAGAATTCTCAACTTGGAACTGACTTTTGCTGTTTGCAGTGAACGTGAATCTAAATCTACTATATTCGCTCCTATTTGAATAGATTAGATAATTTGTCAAATTATCGCAGGCGATCTCAGACGATGTCGGGAAGTACAGTCGACTCCCGATAACTCGAACCCTCGCTAACTCGAATCAAAATGGATTTCCCATGGATTTCCTTCATACATTTACTATAGTTTTACCAGGGGTAACTCGAACCGTGGATAACTCGAACCTCCCGCTAACTGGAAGTAATTTTTGTTTTCCTTCAGATCATTCCTATATAAATTTACCTTCGATAACTCGAACCATGCTTTAAGCGCCTGACAAGTGGAAAAAAGTGTACTACAGTCCGAAACATTGAAATTATTTTAACAACCATGTATTCTTTGTCTTAAATTTTTTTCAGTCCATTTAAAATAGTGTCCAGCGCTGTGTATTTATCAAGCTTTGAAGTGTGCATGTTACTCGGCATTCATTCCCCATCCCATTTACTCCTTTTCGGATATTTACTTTCGATTTTCCTTGAAGGTTCGAGTTATCGGGAGTCGACTGTATAATTGACTCGTCATCGTTTGCAAAATAAAGAAAAGAAAGAATAAAATATAATAAGAAAGGAAAGGAATTTCATCCTTTTGTGAATATAAAATACACACGGTCATTCTCTTATCAATCAGATTTATTAAACAGTTTTTTTAAGAATTTTATAAACTGTACTAACACAAAAATACCATTTCTTTTTATAATAGCAGCTTAGTACATACTGGTGACTGAATGTTGTTCTTTTCCCCAATAAAAAAAATAGTCATTAGAAAACTGCTATGTACACGTAAAATAAAATCGATTCTTTTTAAAAAAAGCATTCTGATTTATTTTATTGTTATTTACATGTTCTTCATTCATAATTGTATAGTTCCTTCCAAATAAATATATTCTAGTTACTTGGAACTTTTAGAATGTTAAAAATGATCTATTTTGTTTTATAACCTTCCTTTTTGAAGAATTTGCTTTTTTTGCGCGAAGAAGGTAGTCATGAAGTGTAACACAGGTTATTGGCAGTAAAACTAGTTAATATCGTGTTAGACGATACAGAAGTTTGTAAGAAGAAAATTTGTTTCAGTTAATACGGGCCAGTGTTGGTTATGGTAAAGATAATAATGATGATGATGATAATGGTGATGATGATGATGATCATGGTATCGGTGGTGGTGGTGGTGATGATGATGCTGATGACGACGAGGACGATGATGATGATGATGACGACGATAATGATGAGAATGATGCGACACGGTAATTGTAGAAGAGAATATAGCATGTTGAAAAGTCATGAGCCCATACAGGTTCAGTAGTTTCTGCACAAATACGGTTGTCGTCCGATTTTGTTTTGTTTTGTCCAAACATCAGAGATAATCTTTTCAAGTGAGAATGTAAGATCGCGGAAGTACATTTTACACAGTCACGTATATTATATAAGTATATTATATTATTTAACTTTGGCAATTCGGTGAAGTCAGGATAACATCGTTTTTCTTTCCAGATGCCTTTAAATATAATTGTTTCATTTCATTTCCATTATCAGTAGACTTCATTTATAGATGCCCTTCATTAAAGGCTTTGACGATTTAGCTTTATTTTAGACCTTAAGATACGGTGTATCTTAACGTCACTAATATCCTGAACGCTTTCGCGATAAACGCCCAAAAGAATGAAAGCCCCTCTATGATGTTCTCAGTTTTCTTTTTCTTTTGACTTGATATTTGTATCGTTTGTATTGCACTCCTCGGTTGTTGACGGTGAGTGCATTTTAAAGTGACCTGATTCTATTAAAGGGGACAACCTTATGGCCTTTTTGTCGTTAAATATAGTTTTCAAACAATGTCATCGCCGTCTTCGGTGTTGGTGTACTTCTGACATCCCTCTTCTTGTTTAGCTGTAGTACGAGATGTACGTAACCTGTCACTGCTTCTACACCCAGGAACAGTTTTTTTTCTACCTGGAGCTATTTGGCTAACGACGTGTTTGGTGTGTGGTATTCAACGAGTCCATTTTAATATCTTGCCAATTTTCAACTTCTCATGGTCTTGTCGTTCACCATGTTTGAAACAGTTTCATCTCAATTTTTAGCGAGCGTTTCTCTGTTTGTGATATATTGTCCCTGTACGCTTCCGTTTCTCCTTCTAGTGATGCTGAACTCAGCAACAGTTGTCTGCAACTTTTACAACTCTACAAATTGGTTGGCTTGTGTCAGTTGGTACCTCCCAACTTGATGGCCTCGACTTGAGACTTGTTCACCGCTATCAGTATGCAGATGAACTTTGAATCTCTAAAGTCACGATATCACTGTTTGCATATCCATAAGTACTCTTGCGCTCTCTTACGGGACTTATTAATTATGTTTTCTCTGGTCTGTATCTACTACTACATATTCGCTTTTAGATCCCTCTACCATCCATCTATCTTGTTGTTTGATGATAATAATCATGATGGTAAAAACGATGTTGAGGATGATTAAAACTTGTCTAGCGCCGCTTGCCAATAAGGTGTTCAGCTTGTGCCAGTTAGCCACCCCTCCGTGGCCACACCCTCAACACCAAAAACTCTTCCCACACACGAGGCTGCCACATTCGAATGCTTTCTCGCCGTCTTGTCCCAACATTTTACCTTAGAAGAACATTCTATTGATTTCTCTTTTTCAGTGGCAGTACCATAAAATCCACAGATTTTTGAATAGGGCCTGTGTTAGCACCGTGCTTAAGCTTGCCGTTCTTCTTGATAGCGATATAGAATTCATGGGTTATGTTTCCCGAGTTCCTGCCACTGTACTTGTAAGAGGTATACGTGTGGAAATGATTCGGTCCTAACGTTTCTCTAAACAAGCATTCGTCTGAGGGATGGGCCTGAAGATGGAGAGAGGCAAGAATTAGCATTATTTGATAGAAGGGCTAATGTACATGCCAACTGATGAATAGAACGGTACCTGATTGGCTAACTTATTGATTCACAGGTTGTTTCCGTGTTTTTTATTTTCGCGAAAATGTTACGTGGTTTGACTACTTTGGGTATTTTGATGAAAATTGTACCGAACGGTCGATGTCTCACATCAATCCTAAATACGTTTGAAACTTGGTAAACATGAGGTTTCACTGAATGGTCGTAACAAAGTGCTACCTTCTACTGACGCAGAAATAAGACCCACATGGCAGGTTTGCGTAACCGATTTTGAGCCTGAAAAAAGTTAATTGAAGACGCTGTTCTACTTTTGTCTTCCTTGTGTAGAATCCATAAACACGATATATGCAGTCTTTACCTTGAAAAACTCTCCGGAAAATGTATACTCCAAATCAAGGGCAATTTTATTCACATTTTCTGCCTCTACCGTTCCATCGATGTAACGCATAACGACAAGCTAATAATTTAAAAGTCTGTCCAATACTTATTTCCTGTCATTGTGTCAGTGTTTTAACCAGAGATATCCTAGGAAGTACATTACAGAGTCAGCAAGTGATGTAACTCACCATAACATGTGGTATTCCCTTGCCGTTCATACAGAAATAAGAATTCGACACCACGCCTTTGAGTCGCACCACACTTGTTCCCATTGACTCCATGTCTAGTAGCGCTGCAACGAAAGATAGAACAAAACTGTAAGTGTTTCTAGTATCGCTCCATGTAAGGGAATGGGGATTTCGGAATCAGGAAAATTTTTGCTTGTGGAATTGGGGAAATTTGTGCATGTGGGATCCGAAATCCTGGGCCTACAAACCAATCCGAAATACAGCTCAAGGAATCTGGAATCTCACTAACGATTGGAATCCGGGATTCAAAGTCCACTGACAAAACATCCGGAATCCAGTACCTAGAATCCGGGGTACAATTCGTGGACTCCAGAATCCAAGACTAGCTTGGATTCCCTCACGTGCATGGGGTGACTAGTGGGACAATACCAACAGTTTTCGGCTGTGGTCAGAGGGTTTGAGCAGTGTATTTTATCATTGCCTGTTACCCCTAGTGCGAAGCTAATTCGGCAATTATCTGGTTGACTACACAGAAGCCCTCTTTTTGCGTTGGTCTTGAATGCGTGTGAAGCTTGCGTGCTTTTTAGAGTGCTCTGAACTTAACAAGCAGCGACTTAGGGGAGAAATAAATCCAAAGTAAAAATAGAAATGTCAAAATTTTAAGTGATATTTATTGCTCTGTTTTGAGAAACACATTTTCAGCCTCACGTTTTTTTATGTTTTGCTTTTTTTAAAAAAATATAAAAAGCTATTGATTCTGCGAGAACCCCAACAGAGTCGTAAACTAAAGCAAATATATAAAATTATATATATATATATATATTGTTGTTTGGCATTCATGTTATTTTTTTATCCTCGTGCTTTTTTTTTAACGAATGTTGATCCGGCTTTGTCACCCTGGATAGTGGTTGTTTGTCATTCTGGATATTACCGTTCAAAGGAAAACAGTACTTATTTTTGTACAATTGTGCAATTTCTCCTTTTATTGATGTGAATATACAATATACAATATAGTGTACTCCTTTACTTGTTTATTTGGTTTTAAAATATAAATTTCAATTGAGCCGCTGTTGTAGGAATTTAATGGTCATTTGTGTTACTTGAGGTATAGACAATTAAACCAATTCACTGTGTTGTAGAACTATGCTCTTGTGTTAAAAGGGCAGTGTGACAGCTACCTTGTTGATTTTCTTTTTTGTGCCATTTACGCGTCTTTACTTGCTATGAAACTTGTGAAATTAACTGTAAATGACAAAACCAGTGCTTTGTGTAAAAAAAATATATATATACATATCAGAGGCACCCAAAGACTGTTTTCTGTGAAAACAGAATTTTCGATTACTTGAGGACGGCTAAAAATTCTAGATGATTTTTCCACTCATGTACAATTTTCAAAGCTTATCTAATAAATTCCGTAGGAATTAATTTTCACATTTCACTTTCCCAAGTTTAGACTATTTTCCGTAAGGGAAAAGAAACCCTAAAATTTTCAGACTCAAAAATGCAGTGGAGAGAGAAATGAGAAAATGTCTCACTTTCGTAATACGTCAAATTGCATCTAAAATTTTCGGGAAAACAATACTCAAGCCCTTATAATTTCGAAAAGACTTAAGTTCCCCTAGAATGACCGAACAGATACAAATTTGATATCGTCGCTTAGAATGCATTTCTAGAGAACTGATAGCCTAAAAAGTATTATGAATGTGTTTAGGAGGAAACCGTCGTTGGGTGCCCCTCAAATATGTCTCCCAAGCATTTATGAACTTTGAAAAACTGTCAAGCTAACAAGTTTTCAAAAACCGCCATTGCAATCCGTTTCAATCTTCTTTAAGTTTATCCACCCTCGTTTCCTTTTTTATTTGCTGTGTCATTTATACCTTACTCTAACTTTTTGAGTGGTTATTTTAATATTTCACTCAAGTTGGTAGTCTTCCCTCTGTTTGAATTTTGATATATTTCGTTACACAGGGTTGATTTCCAGTGTCGCGTAATTTTTTACGTGCGTACGTGCGTAAAATTCGCGTTCGCAAATAAAATAGAGGCAATGCATGAAATGTCGCTCGTATAAGCGTAAAAGTTGAACCTCGCTCAACTCCTCGTTTAAGCTCAGCACTTTTTATCTTGCCTCTATTTTATTTATGTGATTAAAATTTACGTGCGTTAACGTGCGTAGCCAAAAACGCGTCAGTGGAAATCAACCTTAACTCTAATTCCTTTATCTCCCATATGTGAGTTTGGCTAATTATAGATTATTTATCCCAATTTAGCTTTTTATTGCATCGTGTAATCGCACACAGCGTTGATATCCTGGCACATTTCGCGATGAAACGCGATATAAATACAATGATTAATGGTCGATTAGGTTGTTAGCCTTATTAACTCCTACTTTGAATATACGGAAAAGAGACCACGTGGAAAGGAATAATAGTGCCTTGAATTAGGATTAAGAACTTTGATATTGTGTTTTCCCATGTTTTCCGTCCGTAGTATCTAGGGTTGGCTAGAGCGAGTAGTAATATGCCGCTATAACCGAATTAATTTAGCCAATACCCAAATTTCTCTCAAAGTTTCTCCATATATCAGCAACCTAAAGGAACGGTGAAACTGGCAACAAAAACTGACGTCAACTTGTTTTACAACATTGCTGCAAAACTAGTTAAGTAGCGATTTTGCGCGTTTTATACCACCCACGAATCAAACTTGTCCAGCATCAATCCTTTTTGCAACAAAATCTGCACATGTTGCGCGTTTTACCGGCCTCAAGGACAACTTGTTTTGCAACAAGTTACGTAAATTCTGTGTATAGCGCGACTCTCGCGTAATTTTAACCATTCGCGCAGCTTCCAACAAACTGATTTGTTGCCAGACAGGTTTGAACGTTGGTTGTAAAACGCATAATATAGCATTCAGCTCGTCTTGAAATATTTCCAAAAAATTGCACGTTTTTATGCCCATTTTTCCGCAGCTAAACGGAAACGAAATATACCGTATACCCCCAAAAAAAGGAATTGTTTTCAGGTGAAAAATGCCGCATAGCCAATTTATATATAAAAAACAACAACAACAACAACAACAACAACACAAAAATGTGTAACGTACACTTAACATCCCGGGCGCAAATAAATTCTAAATCGTTAAATTTCATGGAAAAGTACCCTTTAAATGGTTTCACCGGGAAAAGTTTACGCCGGGAATTCGAATTACAAAAACAAGAAAACAAAAACTAAAAAAGGGAAAGAAATGTGAGGGTTTTTTAATGAGGACGCCGATGTCTCAAATTCAATTTTCCATCAGAGATTTTACATATCTTCCGATCCAATAAATACTGCAGCTTTTACTTCACGGGCTATTCAATCGCTTTAGTACACCCTCTGAGCAGTGCGTTTGACAAGAATAACATGGTGGCATCGGATAAACAAGGGAAAACCTAACGAAAACAGACGCCCTTCTACCAAAAAAAAAAACGAAAAAATGGCCATTCTATTTACGTTAAAATTTTTCTCACGTATATAAGCACTCATGCACAAGTAGTTTTGGCATTACGTCACTCAATGCAGGATTGTTAGTTGAACACGATACACTACAAATGAAAGATGCTACAACGCCGTTTAAACGAAAATACTTTGGGCCAGTCATTTAAAAGGACTTTAGCCCGTGTTTAACAGAACCGCGTTCTAAGCCATTTTCAGTTTGCTTACCGCTTTCATCCAAACACCATTTATCGTGCACAGTTTCAATAAAGCATATAGCGTAGACTGGAAAAGCACTAGCCTGATTAGGTCCAATGATTTCTTAAACCTCGGCCTACGTTAGACTTCGCTTAAATAACCGACCCTTTGGTTTCAGAACCGACTATGAATCATTTAGTCTGAAGTCTTAGCCCCTCTTCACAGTGTCTTTAGTGGTTAGTATTCTTTCTGCATGCTTTCGCATGCAGTGCTCAAGCCCTTCGACAGAGCCCAACTGACCGGCCAGACCGTTCCCGTCGCGGTAATGAGAATTTCACTGTTAATCAAAACTATCCAGCTCGATCAGTCAAGTCCCAAATAGTATGCACGAAGGAGATGGTTTTTCAGCAAAAACCCTTGGAAAAAGCCGAATCATTTGCTAACTGACTCGTCCGGCAATGGTGCGGCCGGCCAGTTCTGACAAATGGAAAGCTCTCTTCGATTTACCGGAAATAGCTAAAATTTCAACCGGAAAAAGAAGGGAGAATATCAAAAAGGAAAAAAACAGAGCATCGCGATGGCGAGACGTGTGGCACTTGTTTATAATTCAAAGATCATTAAATTATTAGTTATGTTAATATATTAGCTTTCTAATGCATGGCTTGAAATTGAGCCCAATATTGGGTTTTGTATTCTATATTTGCGCGTATAAGAGCGTATATTTACGTATATTTATGCGCGACGTGAGAACTCTAAAGAACCAAACATCAAAACATGATGAATCATCCTTCGAAATTCCAAATCTGAGGTGGTGCGTATTCTATTTTTGGCTTTTGGATACTTCAAGTACCTTAATTGAGAACCGACATAATTTTACTCCTCTGCGAAACAGCTCTAAAAATATCTTACGACAGAGCTACGTTAATTTAACCAGCGTGCGCCTCTTTGTAAATAGTCTTACAAGTGTCAAGACGTATATCAATAATTTTCCTTTGAATGTTGTCTGTTAAAACGCGCAGTAGGTCTCCTTGAGCGAGTCACGCGATAAAGGAATGCCAAAAGGTTTGATTTTATTACGTTTTTTTTAATACAACTCATTCGTTTTAGGCTCGCGCGCTAAAACGATCCTGCGGTTTGTGGGGAAGTAGTTATCCACTTCGGAAGCAGATTTACGGATTTCGAGTAGCTCTAACTTGGTTTCCGTTTCCTAATCTCGAATATTATTTACTTTTGAGACGAAAGCCCCATCAAAGTAAGCCCTCACTCTTTAATAAGTGCACAGACTAGGCTAACTAAGCCTTTTCGCGCCAAAATACAAAAAAAAACTAAGCCTTTTCGCAGCGACACCAAAGACTCGTACCACAGTATTTTAAAATGAGATTAAGACGTCTACGCATTTGCGTGGGATGCTGTTTTCCGTTTTTAAAATGTATATATTTTATCAAATATACGGCCCAGTGGCGCGCCAGTGTAATTCTGTGTCGCCCTATATCCCGGAAAATTGCTGCCAAACAACCTGTAATATAGTTGTGGTTTCCTTGTTTTTCGACTTCTTCCTTTCTCCAGATAATGAAGGAAGGAAAAGAAAACACTTTACGTCATATTTCCGATTCTCTGCCTGAAGAAAAAATAATGCTCCCTATCCTTCCGGAAACAATCTTTGAGCGGTTCAGTGCCTTCACGAGAACCCTCTTCTGCCTTCAACACTTCGCTTGACTATAGGAGGTCTAATTTTTTTGGTAGCGATGGGGCGCGACCGATCCTGCAAACGCCGGAAATGGATAAACAAATAAAGATTAATAAGGTTCACTGTTTGTTTGGTGTTAGTGCGGTTCCGGCAAGTTTCAGAACTCTTGCGTCACGGTTTCAGTTAAAAAATAAAAAGGATATTTCCTTGGGTCGGAAGGATATTCTCTCGGAGCGGTTCCGATCGCTCGTTGTAGACCTCACACGATCTTTTACTCTATTTTGGAGCGTGAGCCATCAATTTCACAGACGATTAGTGTAAATTGGCCACAAAAACTGCAATTGCTTAATTAGCCAAGTTTCTTTTGATCTTGTGTCGTTATTATTGCGTATTAAATTGGCTCTCTCCAAACAAGGAATAGAGGAAGTCATTTTCGATTTTCTCCGGTCCACTTGATCAGACTTGATCGTCTTTTTTTGTAATCATTTAAATTCTAGAGAGCGACTTTACTACTGAACACGAACGCAACTGAACTTGTTGTGGCAAGATTAGCATGACTTATTACTCGGCGTTTGTTTTGCTTCGTGGTTATGTGTTTGACTTCTTAATGATTGCAACTGTTTTGCTGGAGGTTATTATGTCTTTGTGTTGTGTAGTGTCGATTCATTATCATTACTTAGCCGTCCGCTAAATGCCTTATTGCGATGTCAGATCTTGGTCGCAAAGACTCCAGTCACTATCCGGAGTCGTATTCGAGACTTTAAATTGTGACTTAACGTTCTGCTTGCTTGAAATTTGTTTCATTGATTGTAATGTTAAGTAGCCAGGTCTCTGAGGGTCATTCGGTGGGCTTTGAGTTCCCGAATTTACTTGTCAATGAGTGACTTATTTCTTGCGTAAATTCTTCAAACGATTTTTGAGTCCAGAAGAGGAATAAGTCCTAAAAGATAATCTCTGTGCAAAGGGACAAGGGCGTAGGGCTGTGTCGTCGTTTCGAAATATTGCAGCGATCGATTAACAATGTAGTGACGCAGGATTTTGATGACTGGCGTGTCATATGGTTGAATGAAGACCCTAGTCTCACACACCGTTTAATGGAAGCAACATTTACTCTGAACAAACTTAAACTACTTCGCGATGTTAACAGTCTGGCAGTGCGTGGGGTTTATTTGCCCCCGTCGTATAAAGTAGGTACACACAACCGTCTATTCTAGTGTTTCTCGTCGCGTCAACAAAACACGCTCTCGTGAAATGGACGTCTACTTATCCCTGTGTGCTAATTTACATTGTTGACGGAACCAAAACATTGTGAACAGTCGAGTTATGAAGCGATTACGTAAATGCGGCTGATTTTGAATTATTCGTCGCTAACCCGTACTTACTGTTCCGATTGTTGAAGTTTCTTGTACCTCTCAACCGTCGCCCCTCAGAGACTTGAAGAAAGAATCCGTTCTTGTTGTACAGGCGTACCCTTCTTGTGTATGTTGGGAAGCTGAGAATTTTCTGCACGTCAGTCGCTAGGTTCTGTTGCACATGTGCTGTAACTGGAGGTCTGCTTGAACTTGTTTTGTTAGAAACCTGTTTTAACGGCAGAGCCACGGACAAACCTATATATAGATATGCGATGGTGACCCAAGTTACCTGTGGTGTATTAAAAGACAGACAAAAGATTATTATAACGTGTTAATAATTTAAGCAAACTGAGGGAAATTACTGGTACGTCCGCCAATAGGTTAAGGTGTGAAAAATTGTGTAACTTCGGACAGACTTTTAAGTTACTAAATTATAGATTTCTACTTAAGATGCGTTGTCCAAAAATTAAGCGTGTTGAGTTGTCAATTGTATTGTCTGCCGAGAAAAAAAAAAAAAGATAAAATTCTTACCATAATTGTTATCGCATCCATCGCAGAACCTGTCTTCGTTTAGTCGCCTCGGAAAATGTAGCCGCAAATTATGTGGAAAGGATGTCATTATTGTTTTATGACAATTCCATGCTTTGGTCGATCTTAAGAGGTTAATTTAAACGGTTCATTATAATAGTTATATCGTGGTTATCCATTATTCACAAGGAAGCAGGCACAAGTGCACGTAGCGGATGAAAAGGCCTCGATGCTTGCACGCGCGAGTCACTCCAAACTGACCGCGATATTGTCGGGTGTAATTGCTTTGTGCCGGCCTCAAAAAAAGTATTTAAAATGCCGACACTGTCTTTTGATGACATTTTTAGGGACTAGCCCTTTATTACTGAGCAATCATATTTCTATATTGCACTATCTCAGGATAGATATAACTCAAATAGAAAAATCTGGAACCCCCTTAAGACTTTTAAGTACAGCTGTGTGGATAGGCAATGAAGTTTGCCTCCTGAAGGCCGTTGCGGTTTGATTTCGGTCAAAGAAAGGTTCATCGTTTTGAAATAGTTGAAATTCTTTGCTCGTCTTAAGCACTCCTTTTTTCGGCGAGTGAACAAAAGCATTAAGTCACTGAGAAAACATCATAAAAGCGCTTTGAGCCACTTCCGTAGCCTTTAAGAGCTGCCCTTCAAAATTGTACACACAAGAGAATTGCTTTTAATTTCTGCTTACAACCCAGGTGCTAGTTTGTATGCAGACTCAAAATAGCTAAACAGTGAAATTTATTTGCAAGGAGCTGAGATGTTTTTTTTTCCGATTTGGGCTGTAACGATGTCAGGTTGAATAACACGGGCCGGCATTTTTGGGAACAAAAAGACTGAATTACTTTCTGTTTATAAGCAACTCAGTCTCGGAGGCGGGGCAGTGAAATGAAAATCACGTTTTTCGGAGTAAGGTCCAACTTCATGGTTACTTCCAGAAATTTGCGACACCTTCTGTTAGACAAAAGCTCTCTTTTGTGATTTCTACATTTCCAGAATACTCTTAATAGATTTGTGGCAACAAGAGTATCTCTTGATCAAGAAATTATGCAAAAATGCGTTGTGTCTATACCTAGAATGTAAGTAATTGGCCTCGCGAGACGTGCTAAAAATACCAAGAATTCGTTTTACCCCTTGTAAACATTTCACGTTGCCATAGCTCCAGCTTTGAAAGTCGTCAGTGCTGTGTTTGGAGTTGTATTATGGAATGGAATTAGTGTAGACCAAGTGCAAAAAATGCAGGATCAAACTCGAACGTTTTGAACTCCAATCCTTGCCGTAAATTTTGCATTTTTCAGTACTACACGGGGTGTCTCATCTGTATTGATGTAAGTGTAAATATAGATTTCAAAGTAGGGCAGCATATTCAAACTGCTGCATGTATCTATTTTTGGAAGAATGTGATGTAGCCTTGTCAGTCAGTGTTAAATCTCTCTGCCATCGACATCATTTTTACACCATGAGTTGGTCAAGTCAGTTAATTGGCTTTTCGTTGATCCGCATCCTATATCACTAAAATACTAAAGTTGCAATGGCAACAAATGATCAACATATGTATTCCGATCTCTCGTAGCTTCACACACATTATAGCGACGGCTGTTTCATTCAGTAGTAAATCTTGTGTGCTGCTTTCGACCGTTGCGAACTAGAGCTCTACGAAAAACTAAAATCTTATTCGTTCTTCCTGGCACGAAGCTCTCTATTGTTTCGTGGATAGGGTCCATTTTTTCTCTTATTTATTTATTGTTTTCTCACCTAGTCTGTTAGCTGTTCCGAGAACTTGGCTTCTTATCAAGACACAATCTAAATTGGGTTCGTTTCAGTTTTACTTCTTGTTTTGCTGCGTCATGCAAATGACACAAAAGAACTGTCAGCATTGTTTTTTCAATCACTCAGGAAAGGTCAGACGCCAAACAAAAATTCTGTGACATCAACTTAAAAATTTTACGATTTCTACCTCCACCCCCACCCCGCCCACACTTTTGTGCGTTTTCTTACGCTACATGATTGGCTGAAAAAAATTCCCGCCAAATCTCTCTCAATAAATCAGGCGCAGAACAAGCTTGTCCGACATTTTTCCCGCGCTTGATTCTGTCTTCTGGCACTGGCTTAGAGTTTATTGGCTTTGTGGTTTCACTATGGTTTGACAAATACTTCTTTAAATTTGCATCCGATCACATGGTATTGAGCTAATATTAAATTGGTTTTTCGACAGTCTGTAAAAACTGGTTACATATCATGTATTTTACTAGTTGATGTGGTTCAGTTTCTTTGAAGCCTAGTACTATGGATTTGTAGCCAGACTCGTCCGCAATACACGTTTACCGTTCTACTAAATTACGTATTCATGACACAAGTTAACTGTAAACTTTCGCTGGCGCATTGCAACAATTCAAGTGAAAGCTCGCCGACACTATGTCCCTCTAATGTCATTGACTCTTGTAATTCGTAGAGTTTCACAGATAAAAGCTAAGGACAAGATGGCGATAGTTTGAAGAAAACTCTGCGAGAAAAGGTTTTAAAAGAGCTAGATTTCAGTATTAATAGCATGGTCACAATAGATTCCTTCCGAGTACTTGAAAGTTTAGAACTCTATGGAATGTCTATGTTATTGACTCTTGGGTTGAAAAGATAAATATATTAAACTGGAATGTTGTTTCCGCAGAATTTAGAAACAAAAAGGAGTTCTGGAATTCAGTTACGGAAGCGCTGTATGACGCCTTAAAATTTAAACTGTTTAATACACTATACGACCCCATTTCATTGCCTAGTCCTGTACGGCGTTTTCCAAGGCCATCTCGCTTAGTTTGTTAGTGGACGGCGCTGTCTGCAAAGACTGATAACAGCACGAGTAAAGACTATTATGTGCCGCAGGTTCTTTTAGTATTGTCCTTAGAGCAAATGAAAAAATGCATTCCCTTTAAGCAATGAAGATAAGAGATTGTACTTCAATAAATCCTAAATTCAGAGTTACGACTCAATATCAGTGTTCAAACTCAAATCTATCAAGTGCCAAAGAAAGACATAGTTCTAGGTTTCTTCAATGCATGGTTACAGTGTTGGAAAGTTAGCGTAACATCACAGTGACAAGGCGCTTTCTTCCTGAAATCGAGGAAAGCCTAAACATGTTTGTTAACCCCGTTCTAACCTACCTTTTCAAGCATGATCCGTTTGCCTTTACATTTGTCTTGGTGCTGTCAGCTTTCTCGTTGTGTAAAAACCATGGCCACTAGAAAATACAACAATAGATTAGTTTAATCCACTCGAAGGCACTTTATCCACTTGCATTCTTTGTCTTAACTTCACTGTCTAATCCATACCTATCGAAAGCTTTCTGCAATTCGCTTTCTTTTGAAAGTTCATGTTCTACACCGCCTCTTACATTTCAGCTATTCAGTAATATGGCAGAGAGAATTTATCGGGTGTGCCATTTATATAATAGCGTGTCTTTCTTGAACAAGGATGCGACATCAAATCGTTTGTCAAGTGAAAATCTCGCTAATTAGGTGGCGCAATTTTCCTTAAGTGAAAAGCTTCACGGAAACATTACAAGCAAGGCGCGACAAATGTGAACCGGAAATGTGCTTTAATACCCTTTAGCACCTCTTATAGAATACACAAAAACATCGTTTTGTACGAGAACCCAGACTCAAACGTTTGCCGCCAAAAGTCGGTATCTTTGAAGTTTCCGTGACGACCAGTGTTTGAATGGTACCATTGCTTAGCTATGTTTTGCTTTACGATTGTGCGTACAATCTATTTGAGTTGAAAATGCCTCCTTAACACATCATTGAACCGTTTTCTTTGTGTTCCCTGCCCCGCCCGGTGCATATTACTCGCGCATGCGTATTGTGCCCTAATGGAGCTACCTTGACAGCCCACAGTTATTGTACAACTGAGTGTTTTCAGATTTACTTCCACCACTTAATATGGCGTCTCGAAACCATAAGTATCTTTTTGTTGACCATCTGTAGAGCAGCCATAGCAGGATTCTCTGGTAGCATTAAAATTCTATATTCCTCTTCATTTGCCGGAAATCACGCAGTTTCGACTTCGAGGGTTTACAAATCAAACAAGCGTAGTCTATTAAACTGAAAGTATAGAGGAGTTTTTTCTCGTTACCAGTTAACAATTCTAAATATCTTAGCGTCCTAATTTTGTCTTCAGTGTCAGTACGTTGTCGGTGCTCAGCACGTAGTGTTGTTTGCAGTTCTATGTATGTTAGGTATAACGCTTTTTCCGGTCGGTTTACTTATCTTTATCACATGGTCTGCTTCAATGATTTGGGAATAACTATAGGGCCTTGCTAGGGTAGCCTTGCACCTCAATAAGTTTCTGGTATTAAACGCCTCTGATTTCTAGACGTTTTCATTAAAATTAATGGGTGTAGTTTCCAAAGATGTGCGTACCAGTTTTCAAATAACAGTTTTCTATGGGTGCTCATTTTTTACGAGGGCACTAAAATTGTACAGGGACGTTGAAATTCTCAGATCAGTGAGCAGTCCGAGCCTTGAGCGAGTCCAAAGTCCCTTGTAAACGGTTTCAACGTTTTCTTTAACTACCGTTCGCTCAAAGTTTGTGGAAAATGTTGCGACTACATAAAAAGGTCGTCCAACATTGTAAAACGTGTAGTATAAATTTTTGAAAGCTTCTTGAGTTAGCGTGTTGGAACAAAACTTTAAATGGTTTTCACTTGTCGTACAATATTGCTTTAACATTTTTCCAACTTTTGTTTGAGAAAAAAATAGGAAATGGTGAATCGTCTTCGCCGGCTGTCAAATGTAATTGCAGCCTGATTTAGTTGTCAACCGAATCAGAACCCTCTTTAGAAAAAAATGCTTGCCACATCAGAGTATGGCGTCCGTGTTAAGATGCCGCACAGCAAAGTAAAGTGAAACAGTTCGAGAGTACTAATAAGGTGACGTGGGTGAGTTTTCGTTAATTTGAAGGTTTGAAGGCCGAGATATAGAGAAGCCATGCTTGTCAAGATTGCTCTAGCAACAAGAATTACGAGGACCATACCTGTCGAGTAGAAGAGCTCCAAGTCAACGGAAAAGTGTTTTTTCTTGAAAATGTTCGTTC